ATTAAGCGGCTTAAAGTTATTCCACAGTTGACTGACACCTGCTTTTTTGTTTTATTCTCTTTTCCCTCTGTATTTTATTTTGGATAATTTCTTCTGTGGATCAAGCTCTGCTATGTCTAATCTCCCATTAATCTTATCCATTGTATTTTTTTTCTTTTTAAAAAATCCTCACTGAGGACATGTTTTATTGATTTGAGAGAGAGAGAAGAAGGCAGAGGGAGAGAGAAAGAGAAAAACATAAATCAGTTTTTGCCTCACTCACACACCCCCATCAGTGATCCAACCTGCAACCTGGGTATGTGCCCTGAATAGAACCTGTGACCCTTCCGTGCATAGGATGAGACACTAACCACTTAGCAACACTGATCAGGGCCATTTTATTTTTCATCTCATGCATTTTGAGGTTTATTTCTAGAAGTTTCATTTGGATCTTTCAATATCTTTATTAGAGAACTGGAGGCCTGGTGCATGAAATTGTGCATGGGGAGAGGGGAGGTGTCCCTCAGCACAGCCTGCACCCTCTCCAATATGAGAGCCCTTGAGGAATGTCTGGACATCTCTCTCACAATCCAGGACTACTGATCCCCAATTACCCTCCCCTGGAGGCCTGGTCCCCCTAACTGCCCTCCCCTACTAACCTGGTCTCCCCCAACTTCCCTCCTCTCCCACCTGGTCACCCCTAACTGCCTTCCCTGCTTGCCTGATTGCCCCCAACTGCTCACCTCTGTAGGCCTGATTCCCCCCAACTGCCCTCCCTTGCTGTCCTGGTCTCTCCCAACTGCCCTCCTCTGCCAGCCCGGTCAACCTTAACTGCCCTCCCTGCTTGCCTTATCGCCCACAACTGCCCTCCTCTACAGACTTGGGTCCGCCCCCGTACTGCCCTTTCTTGCTGGCCTGGTCTCCCCAACTGCCCTTCTCTGCTGGCCTGGTCACCCCTAACTTCCCACAACTGTCCTCTCCTGCAGGCTATCTTGTGGCAGCCATCTCGTGTCCACATGGGGACAGCCATCTTTGACTACATGGGGGTGGCCATCTTATGTCTTGGTGTGATGGTCAATTTGCATATTACTCTTTTATTAGATAGGACACTTTTGGAGCACATGGAACACAATTATAATAACTACCAGAGGCCCAATGCAAAAAATTCATGCACGGGTACAGTCCCTAGGCTTGGCCTATGATCAGGACCATCTTCCCCAGCTGCCTGCAGCCGGCTCCACCCCGCACCACCACCTACCCCAGTTCCTCTTTTGCCATTGGGTGATCAGAGTCTGCTGTCCAGAAGAGATTGAGAGGTGGTCAGTGCACCTCATAGTGACTGGTCAAGTAGTCATTCTGGTCGTTCTGCCATTAGGGTCAATTTGCATATTACCCTTTTATTATATAGGATGTTATCTTAATGTTCTCATCTACTTATTCTAACATCTGTGCAAGTCATGGGTTGGCTTCAATTGATTGATCTATCTACTAATTATGTGTAATATTTTCCTGGTAATTTTTGAAAAATAAATCTTTATTGTTCATATTATTACAGTTGTTCCCCGCCCCACACACAATAGCTCCCCTCCACCAGGTTCCCACCACACCCCACTGTCCTCCTTCATAGGTGTAAGATTTTTGTCCAATCTCGACCTCACACCCTCTTCCCCCAAGAATTGTCAGTCCACTCCCTTTCTACACCCCTGATTCTATTATACTCATAAGTTTATTCTGTTCATCAGATTTTTTATTCACTTGATTTTTAAATTCACTTGATAGATATATATTTGTTGTCATTTTGTTGTTCATAATTTTTATCTTTACCCTTTTTCTTCTTTTTCCTCTTCTTAAAGGATACCCTTTAGCATTTCATATAATACTGATGTGGTGGTGATGAACTCCTTTAGCTTTTTCTTATCTGTGAAGCTCTTTATCTGACCTTCAATTCTAAATGATAGCTTTGCTGGGTAGAGTAATCTTAGTTGTAGGTTTTTGCTGTTCATCACTTTGAATATTTCTTGCCATTCCCTTCTGGCCTGCATAGCTTCTGTTGAGAAATCAGCTAACAATCGTATGGGTGCTCCCTTGTAGGTAACTAACTGTTTTTCTCTTGCTGCTTTTAAGATTCTCTCTTTGTCTTTTGCTCTTGGCATTTTAATTATGACGTCTCTTGGTGTGGTTCTCTTTGGATTCCTCTTTTTGGGGTTCTCTGTGCTTCCTGGACTTGTAAGTCTATTTCTTTCACCAGGCAGGGGAAGTTTTCTGTCATTATTTCTTCAAATAGGGTTTTAATATCTTGCTTTCTCTCTTCTTCTGGCACCCCATAATTCAGATATTGGTATGCTTGAAGTTGTCCCAGAGGCTCCTTACACTATCTTCATATTTTTGGATTCTTTTTTCATTTTGCTTCTCTGGTTGGGTGTTTTTTTGCTTCTTCATATTTCAAATCTTTGACTTGATTCTTGGGGTCCTCTAGTCTACTGTTGAATTTCTATATATTATTCTTTTTAAAAAAATATATATTTTATTGATTTTTTACAGAGAGGAAGAGAGAGGGATAGAGAGCTAGAAACATCAATCAGCAGCCTCTTGCAGACCTACCAGGGATGTGCCCTCAACCAAGGTACATGCCCTTTACTGGAATCAAACCTGGGTCCTTTCAGTCCGCAGGCTGATGCTCTATCCACTGAGCCAAATCAGTTTGGTTGTATATTATTCTTTATTTCAGTTATATATGCTTAATTTCTGATTGGTCCTTTTTCATATATTTGAGGGTCTTATTAAATTTCTCAAAGGTTTCTAGAAGATTCTTGAATAACCCTATAACCATGGTTTTAAACTCTATATCTAGTATTTTGCTTTCATCTATTTCTTTCATTTGTGACTTTTTTATTTGTCTTCACATTTTGGCTGTTTCCCTGTATTTGTTTCTATGTACTGGGTAGCTGCTAAGTCTCCTTGAGTTGATAGAGTGGCCTGTGTGGTTGGTGTCCTATAAAGCCCAGTGGCTCAGCCTCCCGCATCACCTGAGGTGGACACTCTTGGTGCACCCCTTTGTGAGTTGTTTGTACAGTATTGTTGTAGTTAATACTTGATTGCTATTGATATCACTGGGAGGGATTGGCCTCCAAGCCTATTGGCAGTGATAATCAGCTGTGTCTATACTGGAAGATCTGTTGTACAGGAGACACCTTCAGTGGGGCTTTGGTGCTCACTGAATCTGCCCCATGAGTGTGTCTCTTATGGATGTGAAGAGTTGTAATCTGTATGATCTCACTCTGAACACTGGGTACACTGGCTCTTAGATCTCCAAGGACATGCAACCTCAGCCACTGCCTGCAGCCGCCTACCTCTACAGAGACATCTGCAGATTCCTCCTCTTTGTATGGGGTTTGGAAGTACCCAGAGGAGGCCCAGCTGTGAAGCAAGGCGGGCAGGGCCTTGGGCTTTCTTTTGGAAGTTCTGGACTTTCTGACCCAGCTGCAATTTGTTAGGTTTTAGGCAAAAGAGCAGGCCTTTCATATGCAAAAGATGCTGCACACAGCTTGGATGGGGCAGGGTCTCTGGGAGTCACCAGGGCAGAGCGAACAGCAATGGCTGCCAGTGAGCCCTGAACGGGAGAAGTCCCTGGTTCTCAATGTCTAGCACCCCTGTGCAGTAACAGTAATCGATGCAAATCCCTCTAAGAGAAAGGCACCCTCACGTTCCTGGCCCGATGCCAGATAGTTTAGTTTCTCGCCATATGTGTCAGGGTCTCCCAGAGTCTCGTCCGGAACTGGAGTTCAGAGCAGGCAGAAGCTTATATTTCCCTCCCGATTAAAAGATCAGCACATCCAGGTGCCAGCACTTTCCGCACCTCCACAGCTCCTACCAGTCTCAATGTGCCTTCTTCACCTGTCTAGTTGTGGAACTTCCACTCAGCCAGCCTTACCACAGTTCTGAGTGGTAGTTGTTCTGCTGTTTAGTTGTCGTATTGATGTGGTTGTGAGAGGCAGCAAGTACAGGCACTTACCTATGCTGCCATCTTGGTTCTCTTCCTGGTAATTTTTGATTGGATGTCAGACCTGGTGATTTTTGAGTTACTAGTTGCTGAATATTTTTGTATTTTTATAAATATTCTTAAGCTTTTCCCTGGGATCAGTTAAGTTATTTGATCCTTTGGGTTTTGCTTTTAAGATTTGTTAGGCAGAACTAGAATTGTGCTCAATCTAGGACTAATTACACCCACAACTGAGGAAATGCCTTCTCTTCACAATGCTCTGAGTCTCGACAGTGTGGCTGGTGGGAATAGTCACTCTTCCAAGCCCCATGTGAGCACCATAATCTCAATCTTTTGAATGTTTTTCCCCCTTCAACTTGGTTGGTTGCCTCACACATAAGTGCTGACCAGTACTCAGTTGAAAGCTATAAGGGGACCCTCTGCAGATATTTGGATCTCCAGTCTGTGCAGGTCTCTCCTCTCTGGTACTCTATGCATCTTTCATCTACTCTGCCAGCAGATAAGGTCCCTGGTGGAGAAAATGTTGGTACTTCTAGCATCAGTGGACTTCTCTCATCCAATGATTATGAAAACAAAAGCAGAAAGGGTTACTAAAGGGAAATGTGATTTCAGCCCCCTTAAAGTTTATATTTAATTCTAAGAGCAATCATTTTCTTGAAAATAATTAAAGTCCCTGGGCTGTATTAATGCTCCTGGACATTCATCATTCAGTGAACTTTTTGTTGTTGTCACAGGTTATGTATTATTTAGGCAATAATTGATGTTCACCAGAGAACAAAACTTAGTAGGTATAGATTAAAATTTCAAAGTGAAAAAAAAGGACTGTTTAGGTTCTAGATAACTTGGTGACTGTAAATCTCTGCTATGGTTCCAGACACCTGGACAGATGCCCCCTGCAGTGTTTCACGACCCCCCACCCCTGGGATGCTGATGGGCAGTATGGGGTGGAAATTAGAAAAGATGAATGTGGACCATGAGGAGGCTAGTGCTAGGTAATGGACAGCCTGTTTCCCACCCACAGGTGCTTTTTTCATCCCCTACCTCATCTTCCTTTTCACCTGTGGCATTCCTATCTTCCTTTTGGAGACAGCACTGGGCCAGTACACTAGCCAGGGAGGCATCACAGCTTGGAGGAAGATCTGCCCCATCTTTGAGGGTGAGTATCTGTGTTCTGATTCCAGGGTATCTGCATTGGGGATAATAAATCTATTTGAAATGACTGAGTGCTTTAGCAGACATGCTGATTGAGATAAGATTCTGTGTTGTTATGTTAAACCCTCCATTTATGGGCCCAGTGCTGAGCTATGGAAAAGATGGTAATGAGGATGGGATAAAGGCTTTAGGTCAGGGGTCCTCAAACTTTTTAAAGTGGGGCCAGATCATGGTCCCTCTGAGAGCTGGAGGGCCGGACTATATGAACTACTAATTCCTACTGTAACACCTCGGCTGCGCTCACTGCCCAAAAAACCTGGTGGACCGGATCAGACTCCTCTGCGGGCCGCATTTGGCCCGCGGGCTGTAGTTTGAAGACGCCTGCTTAGGTTAAATAAGTAGAGTGCAAAGCTATTTTAGTTATATATTTTAAATATATATTAGTATATATAACAATGATTTTCTATTTTCAAAATATATGTAATCAATTACAAAACATTTTAAAAGAGAATTTTATAGTAATTCTACCATCTTGACACAACAGCTATTTAAAATTTAATAGTGTTTTATTTCAATATTTCTCTTTATGTAAGATTTTTATACGTTTCTATTTTGAAATAATTGTATATTCACAGAAAGTTGCAAGAATATAGTACAGAAAGGTCATCTGTACACTTCATGCAGTTTTCCTCAATGGTAATATCTCTGTATATAAAAGCCTAAGCAACTGTTTGACTGTTTGACTGTTTGACTGTTCGACCAATAGCTATGATGTGCACTGACCACCAGGAACAGATGCTCAATACACAGGCATGGAAATATGGAACAGACTGATGAATCTCAGAGGGAAGAGGACAGGAAGAGATTAACCAAAGATCTTATATGCATACTAGAAACCTGGTGCATGTATTCATGCACCCATAGGGTCCCTCGGCCTGGCCTTTGCCCTCTCATAATCTGGGACCCCTTGAGGGATATCGGACTGCTGGTTTCTGCCCAGTCCCCACAGGCCAGGCTGAGGGACCCCACTGGTGCATGAATTTGTGCACTGGGCCTCTAGTGTTGCATAACTATAGAACAATATCACAAGTTGGAAACTGACATTGGTACTATCCACAGACCTTATCAGATTTCACCAGTTTTCCTTGCACTCATTTTTATAATTCTGTGTAATTTTATCACTCTGATGTGCAGCTTTGTGTAACACCACCACAACCAAGGTACAGAACTGTTCCATTGCCACAAAGATCTATTGTCCTCTATAGTCACATTACCCCACCTGCCCCACTCCAAACCTCAAGCAACCACTAAATTGATCTCTATTTCTATAATTTTGTCATTTTGAGAATGTTGTATAGATGGAAACATACAAAATATAACCTCTTGAGATTGGCTTTTTCACTCAGCATGATGCCTTTGAGATTCATCTAGTTTGTTCTTTTATCAATAGTTCATTCCTTTTCATTTTGAATAGTATTCCATGGTATGGATATATCACAGTTTAACCATTCACCCATTGAAGAATTTTGGATTGTTTCCAATTTGGGGAAGGGGGTGGGTATTTACAATATTTCTGTCTACATAGAATTTACATATCTATTAGCATGGAATACACATAGATTATAGCTCTGTTTATAGTTAGTGTTATTTTCTACTTTATATACAACATTTAATGATTATATAAACTTACAGCAAGTAGATAAATTATAATTTACTTAACAGTTCTTTGTTTTGGGCTTTTTCTTATTTTCACTTCCTTATAAAATTGTTAAGTTCTGCCATCATGTGTATTTGTTGACATAGATTTACCCCTCACCCCCTTTTTGGTATAAATTTGCAGGATTAGAATCACTAGGTCAAATGGATGATCAAACTGATGTCTCTTAATCTGGCTTATTAAATTGTCCTGTAGAAGTTTTATACTGATTTACAGTGTCGCTAGACATGAGTAAGCATCCTTCCCTTCTATTTTTAATAACTCTGAATTTCCAAATTCCTCCACATATTGGAACCACCTGGGGACCTTCAAAACATCCTGTACCACACCCCCAGAGTATAATTTAATTGGTCTGGGGTCTGGCTTAGGCTTTGGAATTTTTAAAATATTTCCAGGTAATTCTAATATGCAGACAATTTTGGAAATTAATGAGCTATATCATTTGTAAAAAATTTCACTCGGGCTGTAGTTGCAGAATGGTACCTCAGTGTTGTTATATTTTGCACACCTGCAATTATTAGGGAGGATCTATTTGTATTTTCTCCTATGAAAATTATCTGTTCCTGCTCTTAACAGATGCTTTTATATTTCAGAAATATATCAGACTAATTCTGGGGAACACTAACTATTGGAATCTCGGAGTTAGTCTACCCATTTACAAAATAACCTCAACTTGGTGAACTTTCAGAACCTAATAGAGATGTCAGTGTACAGGAAGCCAAGACAGGGCAGCAGAGTCTGGGCAAAAGGTTCCCTCCTGAACAGGGCTGTTGGAGCGAGCAGCACACCTACCTGCTGGGAGGGAGAGGACAGCTGGGAGCCACGGCTCCAGCACTTCTTTCTCTTTCTTCTTTATTGATTAAGGTATTACATATGTGTCCTTATCCCCCCATGGCGCCCCCTCCCCCCACTTGGATTCATGCCCTCACCCCCTGGTGTCTGTGTCCATTGGTTATGCTTATATCCAGCACTTCTTGTTTTAGGACACTCACAGCAGAGCCCAAGCCCTCTGTTAAGCAGGGGTGGGCAGTGTGTGAGAGCTCTGTCCACTGTCCCTGGCTCAGTCCTGCCCCTTTTCCTCCAGGCATCGGCTATGCCTCCCAGATGATCCTCATCCTCCTCAATGCCTACTACATCATTGTTCTGGCCTGGGCCCTCTTCTACCTCTTTAGCAGCTTCACCATCGACCTTCCCTGGGGAAGCTGCCGCCATGAGTGGAATACAGGTAAGGTCATCTCCGAATCCATTTCCTCCAGCCACGTGAACCAGGAGTGGGATTGTCCCTTATTCCGGGCAACCTGATTCCCAGTCATAACTTGTGACTCGCTAGAACTCTAGGAAGTGAATACCAAAAATAAGAGTGAGATTTCACCAGCATTAGAGGCAAAATGTATTCAATTACTGTACTGTATTATGAATTAATGTATGCAAATAGAACTATTTATGTAGTTTAGTTACTAGTATTTATTTATTCCAGTAAATATTGTTAGTTTGAAATATTGTTAGTTTGGTATTTTTATATATTATTTGTACATTTTCTTGTTTCTCATGCCTTCTCTCTGATACTGTTTTAGGTCTTTCCAACCCAACCCACAATTCACCTGGCTTTAAGGAGCTATTTTGTATGTCATCAATATAATTTATAACAGCAATTAATTTTCACTTGTGCCTGCAAGACTACAAGAGCCACCTGTGGCATTAAAACTACTAAGTCTAATGAATTGAAAGGAATGAAAACTTAAAAATACCTAGGGTATTGCTATCCGAAAGAACTTTGTGATGTGGTCCTATCTGAAATGGTAGCCAACATGTGATTATTGAGTACTTGAAATGGCTCGTGTGTGTGAAGAACTGAATTTTTAAAAATTTTATTGAACTCTAATCATTTAAATGTAAAGAGCCACCTGTGGCTAGTGGCCGCCCTTAGGCTGGCGCAGATGAAGAGCTGATGGACGTGTCCTGTGTGGGTCTCAGCATCTTGACTTGCACCCCAGACACCACTCAGGGCCTGTCAGTGAGGCCCTAGCTGTGCTCCTATTACTTTTTCTAGCTCAGATAAAGTACTCAGCTCTGAACAGGAGTTTGAATCAGTTACTGGTCAGGAAGGTGCATTTCTGCAATGGTCAGCATCATGTTCAAGGCCCCTCCTGCCCTCAAACCTTATGCTCCCTTTTCAGGTATTCCCTGGCCGATCTCTGCCACCACCTCCAACCCACTAATTTTGAGTAAAAAGTCAAACCTTGGAGGTACTTCCTCTGCCACCCTCAGGTGCATTCTGTTCTTGGCAGTACCTGCTCTGACCCCTGGCCCTGCTGTGGCTCCTACAAGCTTTTCATCTGTTTGTTGGTCTGGTTTTCCCAAAGGCCAGCAAGAGTTTGAAGGCAGAAAAGTTGTCTTTATCTCTATGGCCTTTGTGCCTGCACAGTGCTGGCTACATCACAAGCACTAAAAATATTTGTTGAATGAATCACCTTTTAAAAATATATTATATTCTAGTATTTTATTTGTATGATATGTTTCCTTTTTCCCTCCCTCCCTTCTTCCCTGCCTCCCTCCTTCCTTTCTCCCCTTCTCCCTCCTCCTTTCCTGCCTTCCTCCCTCCCTCCTTCCTTCCTGCTTTCCTTCCTTCCTCTCTTCCATCTATGTACACTGAAATGCCCTTGACATCAGCTTGTCAGATGGTGACTATATCCAGATCTCAGTGGAATTCCTCTTATAAAATTGTGTGACTTTTTGGTGGCCTAGGAACTTTTGCTTTAGGCCTGCCTTTACTTTGATTGGGGTGGGTTATCTCTGAGACAATTCTGAGGCAAATGCAACACCCAAGTCTCTTGCTCCCTGACATTTTGGACATTTCTCCTAGCGAGTCTGGTTTTACTCCGAGCTGGGCATCTAGAATAGTGCAGGACGGCCTGTACTGCCTCGGGGAAATGCTTGGTGTGCTGAAGCTTGGAGGAAAGTGACCTGTCTAGTGAAGAGAGTGCTCGGCTGGCATTGCCATTCAACAGATATTATTGAGCTCCAGCTCTGTGTGGTAATGTAAAAAGGAAGGTCCCTGCCTGCATGGAATTGTCATTCTAGTGACAGGAGACAGACAGACCATACACAAAATAAACGAGCAATAGGTATCATGTGAGAAGGGCTGTGGAGAAAAATAAAACAGGGAGGAGGTTTTGGGAATTTTAGGGGTGGGGGTGTAATTTTTAGTGGGTCATCAGTGAAGGCTTTACGAGAAGATGACAGGAGTAATGCTCTAAGGAGGCTGGGGAGTGAGCCACTGAGACAACAGGAGACAGACACTAGGTGGCAGGGACTCCCAGATAAAGGCCCTGGGGGACCAGTGCCAATAGCACCCAGGGAACAACAGGGGTGGTGGAGTTGGAGCAGGTGAGCAGCAGCAGTGGGAGGCGAGGCCAGAGGAGATGGGGAGATTAAATCTGGCCTTGGAGGTGATTATAGGGGTGTTGGCTTTTTTCTCTGAGTGGGATAGGAAACCTGTTGGAGAGTTTTGAGCTGGGGCATGACATAAAATGTGACTTAAGTTTTAACAATGTCACTCTGACTGCTGTATGGAGATTTGGCTAGGGAGGCAAGGGTACAGGCTGGAGTGGGGAGATATGACATGGTGGTGACCTGCGCTATGGGGGTGGCAGTGGTGACAATGAGAAAAGTCAGATTCTAGGTATTTTGAAGATAGAACATACACAGCTCACTGGGCTGCATGCTAGCCCTCAGTCACTTACAAGCTAAGACAGGCCTTTTCTAAGCAGACTCCCTTTCTTCATGCATATGATGGGGAAAACACTCTCTGTCTTAACATTTTTGAAGATTACTGTACTAATAAAGCATAAAAAATACTGTCGACATGCTTTGTGAAACTCCAAAATCATGAACAAATAATTAAGAACTACTACTTATTGAGTACTTTACAGACATGCTTTCATTTGATTCCTGTCGGTCTACGAAGGGATAGCCTCATGCCGTTTGGGAGCTGAGGGGTGTGAGGCTTGGAGAGAGGGCCGGGCCTCCAGCCAGCACCTGTCCCCGTGCTCCTTAACGACGTGGATACATAACGTCCCTAGAAGGCTTCGTAGTATTTTCCAAAGGCTGTGACTTTACACACAACACGTCCCTGGGAACAGTTGTCTACTTTGAAGTGTGTCTCTCCCGATGCCCTCTGGTCACGCTTTAGTAACAATATGCACCCAAACGTTTAGAAACCGACAAGTGGAAGCACGCGGGAGAGGGTGGTGTGGGCCTGCCGAGGTTCATGTTTAAGGGTGTTTTGTACAGACAACTTCAGCCCAGTTCCTTCCAGGTACCTCACTTCCCTTCTCCTGAAATCTCCCCCCAAATACTGATTAATGCTTTTTCTCTCGTAGAACACTGTGTGGAGTTCCAGAGGACCAATGGCTCCCTGAACGTGACCTCTGAGAACGCCACCTCTCCTGTCATCGAGTTCTGGGAGTAAGTGAGGCCCGTGCTTTACCCCGCGGGGGGCTGTGTGTTTGGAAGAAGGACACAGGGATAGGCTCAGCAGGTAGTGACTCCCAGTGGACGAGAAGGCGAGCTTTTCTGGTTCCTTCCCTGGTGGCCCCGTCACCTCGGCGGCTTTTTTCTGCTGTGTCCGCATTAGTGGTTCATGCAGAACAGGTTTCAGAGATGAGGATTTTGCAGCTCTCCTGTATCTCCTCTCCTCTCCCATGTGTCCACCCCCCTGTTAGCTGGTGCACACCCACGTGTGTCCACACCCCCAACTGCCCTCCTCTCCTCAGCCAAATGTGCGTTGTCTCTTATCTTCCCTTCCCCAATACCAATATTCATCTAGGGCACGATTCCTCATATCAAAACGCCCTATAACCCTGGATGAGAAGACGTGTTTGCGCCTCCTTCTCTAGGTTAAATTGGTAGTCAGCCTCCCAGAGCAGACTTACCTGGGAGCAGTTTACATTTGCCTCAGTTTATATCTACCCCCATCTCTGGGCAAAGGAGAGCCTGATGGGTTCAGGTGACAAGAACTGACAAGCCTTTGGACAAGAGCCTGGAGGCATGGCTCCACTGCCGGAGATGCAAGGGCCATGACATGGAGGCCGGCAGCCACGTGGATCCTGGCTCAACCCTCTCTCCCCAGGAGGCGGGTCCTGAAGATCTCCGATGGCATCCAGCACCTGGGGGCGCTGCGCTGGGAACTGGCCATATGCCTCCTGCTTGCCTGGGTCATCTGCTACTTCTGCATCTGGAAGGGGGTCAAGTCCACGGGCAAGGTCCGTGTTCGAGAGCTCCTGGCCCTCCCATCCCAGGACTCCCTGCCTTCACTGGGGGTCCAGTTACCTGAGAGTTTCCTAAGTTGCAGCTTAGTCAGGATGGGAGGGAATGACCCAACAAAGACTTGTAAGTCTTGCCCTTTGATTCGATGCCTCTCCTGAGTTCAATCCCAAATCCTTCTGCTCTTCCGGGAAATTAAATGGAAGAGAGAGAGGATGGGTGGGTGGGGAAGGACACTTCCATAAGAATTTGACCTTGGACTATACCACATAATTGGGCACATTGCAAATAGAACACAGTTCATGGCTCCCTAGCTCAACAGTTCTTTGGAAAAGGAATTCCATTATGATCATCAGTCTCAAAATGATTTCAAATCAACCTGAGAAGTTGGGGAGACTCTTTGCCCTAGGGTGTATGGGAATCAGAAGGGCATTCTGAGTTCCCCAGACTCCTGCCTTGGAGGCCTCGGGCACGGCTTTCTTCCTAATCTGGCTGCCTGGTTGCACTAAGCTTGTAAGGTCTGTGAGGACAGGGATCATGTGTTACAGATCTTTTCATACCTGACATCCCTTGTCATGCCTGTTGGGAGAATGCCTAAGTTCATTCACTCAACAAATATTTGTTGGGTGTGTGTTGGGGGAGGGTGAGTGCTTTAGGCAGGAGCAGGGAGGGGAGAGGTTTGGGCCCACAGTTAGGGGAGGTGGGACTGATGAGAGGGTAGGAACAGATGGGAAGCCCCGATGACCTCCTCTGTAGCTGGGGAGCTCCTGCCTCCAGTCTCCAGCCCTCTCTCTCCTACTCACACATTTCTTGTCTCTCATCTGCCCCCTGGCCAGGTGGTGTACTTCACAGCCACGTTCCCTTACCTCATGCTGGTGGTCCTGCTAATTCGAGGGGTGACACTGCCCGGGGCAGCCCAAGGGATTCAGTTTTACCTGTATCCAAACCTCACACGTCTGTGGGATCCCCAGGTAAGAAGACACAGACAAGGGTTGTACTGTAGCTCTGGAGGTGCTTGAGCTGCAGACCAGCCCTGCTCCTGGCCCAACCCTAAAGCACCCACGATGGGCCAGAAGATGGCAGGCATCTGTTAGCAGCTGTGCGTGGCCCCCTCCTTGGCCCACAGCTGCCAGGGAAGCCAGGGGGGCCTCAGGCCCTCGTAATATTTCTCAGGAGTGTCAAATATGTCACTCACAGCCTCTACTCACAGGTTGGACCCTATCTACCCATCTCCCCTTGGCCATCTTATGTCCCACCTAGCTTCTTCTCTGTTTACTAACCCTCCACCAGCTCCTGGGCTCCCTCCCTCTGTCAGAAGGCCCCTCTCTGGGCCCAGCTCCCAGCTGAGCGGTGTTGAGTTGCCTGTCAGTCATCAGGAGGCCCCGCCCCTCCTCCGGGCCCTCTCAGGGAGGGGTCGGTGCTGCCTGCTGACTGGAGGGGTCTGTACCGCGGGGCCTGAAGGAGGAACCGCTGCCTCTGGCGGGTTTCCTATCTCCTGTTTGGCTGCCTCTGCTGGAGGGCCGGGTGTGGGAGAGCACCCCCCTCCCCCCCAAACCCTGAGATGTGCCACCAGGCCTTCCCCAGGGGACATGCGCACAAGGTTTCTTTCCTTCGGTCTGTCCTACTGTCCTCTGTTAGGTTAATAAGGCCTCCTCTCTCCGAGCTGGAGGCTCTCCGCCTGACAGGGACCCTGGGGAGACTTCGGGCGGGAGAAGATGAACAAGTGGCAGTGAGGCGCCAGCACAGGCACTGACTAAGCTGCAACTTAGGGAGCAAGAGAAAAGGAGTGGCACTCACTTCCACAGTCCCTCTGTGCACGCAGCGGCAGTGGCTCCTCCTTGTGCTGAATTTGGGGTGATACAGCTCAGTTATCCCAGTCTCCCAGCCATCCTGAATCCTACCAGGGCTGCCCCGCTCCGCAGTCAGAAACATCCCCATGGGGTCAAGTTGCCTGGGTATTTCTCAGTGGTCTGCTAGTGGGACATGAGCTCCTCCTCCTCCCCCTCTCCCTTACCCCCTCCTCCTCCTCCTCCTCCTCCTCCTCTCCTTTCTTTCTTCACCTTCTCTTTTCTTCCTCTTCCTCCTCCTTCTTCTCCTTTCTTCCTCCCCCTCTCCCTCCCCCTCCCCTTCCCCCTCCCTCTCCCCTTCCCCCTCCCCCTCCCCTCCCCCTCCCCCTCCCCCTCCCCTCCCCCTCCCCCTCCCCCTCCTCCTCCTTCTCCTCCTCCTCCTCCTTTCCTTCTCCTCTCCCATGTCTTAGTCATAACAGCGCTACAGATGGCTGCTGCGTCATCTCCAGGGGGCGCAGGGATGCAGTTGGCTTTGGCGACAAACTGTAGAGCCATCGCCATGGGAGCTAAAAGGGCTCCAGAGGTCACGCAGAGCAAACTCCTCGTCGCACAAACGAGCAAACGGAGCCTCGGCAAGCGGCAGTCAAAAAGGTCACACAGCAAGCCGCAGGCCAAACACAGTGCACTTTTATTCTGTGACTCATAAGCCCTATGCCTTATCTGCACCAAAGGGTGTGATGGAGAGTAGGCAGCAGGCAGGTCTGGGGCAGCCGAGCGGAGGGAGGCTTTGGAGGCCAGGTGCGGAGTTTGGCTGGGATCCCCCCTGCGAGAGGGAGCCATCCTGGTTCTGGAGCAGCTGAGCCACAAATCCCACCTTTGTTTGGAGGCCAGGCTGGGAAGGAGGGACATGTTCAGGCCAGGAGACAGGCAGGTGGGCCAAGAGAGAAAAAGGAGAAAGGGTCCAGAAACGGGTTTAGGGCTTCTGTGATCAGTGCCTTGTTTGTCCTGATCAGTGACTTACAGCTAAACACTGTTGAGTGCTTACAGTGGCCCTGGCATTAAGAGGTTTACATGCATTATTTCAGCTAATCCTCACGGCCAGTCAACGAGGTACCCTTATTTTATAGATAAGGAAACGAAGGCCTGAAGAGCTTAAAGAATTTTCTGTCCTTGCACCTGCACCTGGAATCCAGGTCTGAGTGATAAAAACTCCAAATACTTTATAATCTCCTGAAGACAAAGTCCCCATTTGTGTGTGTGTGTGTGTGTGTGTGTGTGTATCTTCCAGCAACATAAAGAAGGTGGACCAGATAGCTGTAAACGCTGAGAGTTAATAAGGCCATCCTTCTGTGTCTGGGTCACTGGAGGGAATAGACCTCTTTAAACCTGCTCTCCAGGTTACCATCTTTCCATTCCCAGCGCGAGCTGTGCAGGAAGGATGCTTCTTCAAGGGCCAGGCTTGGTCCTGAGCTTTCCAGCTGCCTGCCTTGTTAGCGGCCTGGCCCTGGCCCCATGCTGGAGTGAGGCCCTGGTTGTCTGTGAGCAGAGCAGCCCCTGCAGGGTGGATGTCCTGCCAGAGCACTAATTGGATGTAGTTGGCACCCCCCAGGAAGTGTGATAATTCCAGCTGGCATTTGCTTGGCACTTGAGAAAGGTACAAATCCCTGCTAGCCAGCACAAAGACCAAAGACCTCTCTCTGTGAGCACTCAGCGAGGGAGTGGGGGCCCGGCAGACACAGAGCTGGGTGCTCCGGTGCCCTCTTTCCGGCCAGGCTCTGTGCGCAGGGGCTGCTGCCTGGCGCTCCCAAGGTTGTCTCCGTCCCACGAGGAGCTCCGCCGGGGCCCTGTGTGCTTTATTCGGGCGCTTGTTTCTTTCCTTCTGTCGGTCCTACTGTCCTCTGTTAGGTTGGCAAGGGCAGGGCCTGGGGGGAGGGTGTCCAAAGAGCCTTTGTTGAAACTTTTAAATCTCTGCTAAATGATTCTAATGAGGGGTTTATTTAGGGAGGAGGTTGGAACCACTGAGTCTTTTAATTTTGACATCGTACATTGAAATCTATGGGACCTCATATACACCTGAAACAAATATAATAATGTCTGTCAACTTAATAGAAAAATTAAAAAAAAATTTCCTTTTAAAATGAAGATTTATGAATTGGGTGTCATCCCACCTAGTACACAGAAGGGTGGCCCCGAACGTTGTACAGAACGTTTTCGTGGGCAGACCCTAGGCGGGATGGAGACGTTATTGGCAGGAGAAAAGAGGGTTGTTTCTGGCAGGCCACCTTTGCTGAGGAAGGGGAAGGGTATAGGGGACTTTAGAGGGCAGAGGACTCTAAGCCATACTGGCGAAAGGTCACATCCCTAGGAGCTGAGAACTGCAGTTACAGTTTGGCTTGTGTGGAGTGGGAGGTGGGACACCACCTGAGTATTTTTCTTAGCACCTGGGAAAAGAGAAGGAAACCTGGTCACTGGACGCAGCTCTCACATTCCTACTGCGAACTGGCTCTTCCAGCCCCAGTGCCTTGATGACAAGGCTTTGAACCAAATCACTTGTTCCTCCAGGCTAACTGAGAACCCTAGCCAAAGACAAGTGACCCATGGGATGGATAATGATGGGTGGGGAAATCTTCTGGCCTCCAGTCTCCTGCAGACACTTCCCTCTGCCTGCACACATGGAGACAGAGAGGAGGCGAGGGAGTCCATTGGTACAACGGACAGGCCAGCCTTCCCTGGCACAAAAGCAGGAAAAGGGTGGAGAGCAGACACGGAGGCACAGATAGAAGACAGGTGAAGTTGTTTCTAAGAGGCAGTTATGTGGAAGCAGAGTCATTCATGTGTGTTTAGAAGACAGACAACAAACAACTATTTTCGTTCACTGACATATAGGCATCCAAACACCAGTGCCGAGTTCTTCAGAGACCCTGTGAGAACACAGTTGCCCTTCAGTTCTCTCTCTGCGAGCACAACCTATTTCCAAGAAAGTCCTCTTGTGTTTCTTCAATAAAGTACCGTTATGAATTTTCACTTGAATAAGAAAAGCAAGAAGCTAACACTAATTTTTTAAAATTTTTTTATGGATTTCAGAGAGGAGGACAGAGGGAGAGAGAGATAGAAACATCAATGATGAGAGAGGGTCATTGATCAGCTGCCTCCTGCATGCCCCCCACGGAGATTGAGCCCGCCACCCAAGCATGTGCCCTTGATTGGAATTGAACCCAGGACCCTCCAGTCTGCAGGCTGATGCTCTATCCACTGAGCCAAACCAGCTAGGGCCTAAACCTACTAAAGAGAAAACCACAGGCTCGAAATGGTGTCACCTGTGCTAAAAATCCCAGGGTACCAAACATAGATTAAATATCTATTTGCAGTTTCAAACTCTCTTAGAAACATAATCTTGATCAGCCTGTCTGGGATTTTCTGGTCAAGACCAATGAGATAATTTCTACAGAAGAAAGAGGCAATCTTCGAGATAAAAATCTTTCACCAAAAAAGACACCCTGGCCCATTTCTTTTGCTGATTGATTCCTTCCCCCATCCTTCTTCCTACGGGAACCTTTTATTTTGTCCAAGCCCATCAGAGTGCCCTTTTAGTGCTAGATGGCACCCTGCCTGGTTCATGAACTGCTTAGTAACTGCTAATAAATCCACGGGGCCTCATCAGAGCTGAAAGGTGGGCTGCTTTTTAAAAATATGTAACCCAACAACAAACCAGCGATAGCTGACACCTCAGTCATGTGTTTTCTACTTGTCAGACACTTGGCTAAGTGTGTGACACGGTGCATATTCCCACCAGCCCTGGGAGTGAGGTGTTAGCCTCACTTTACAGATGAAGAAACCCAAAGCTTAGAAAGCTGAAGAAATTTGTCCCAAATCACAAAACTAGCATGTGTGGAGCTTGGGTTTTACACCAAGTAGTTTTTTGGAGTCTGCTGACACCATGATATCCATTTTCCAAAGAATATTAATTATTTGAGAGTTCTAGCTATTTTTTTTTATTATCTCAGGAGGTGGAATAGGGAACTCATATTTATGTTCGGCATTTTACATACATTATTTTATTTATTATTATTCCCATTTTCCCGATGAAGAAAGTAAGGTTCAGGAGGATTGACTTGCCTAAGATCATACAGCTAGTAGTTAACTCCAAAACCCAGGCTTTTCCCATTACACACTATTGCCTTCCTAAAAATAGTAGGTATAATAATCCTTGGGGTTGGACTCAAAGTTGAAAACATCTTTTCTGTACTTCCTAGAGCTCACACTCTCTTCCTTTGTGCCCCCAGAGAGTTCCTTTCTGCCCATGCTCCCACCAGGGTCTTGCACACTTGTTTTATTCTTGGTTAGTCTCCTGCCCCAGCCGAAGACACATCGGAGCTTTGTTCCAGAAACCAGGGCCCTGGCACAGGCAGGGAGTGGGCCGCCTGCCGTGGGAACAGAACAGCTTGCTCTGCTGGTTCCGTCAGCCCTTCTTCTGACCCCATTCCTTCCCCCTGTCCCAGCAGGCCTGTCAGGCAGCAGCTGTGCAGAGAGCTGGGCTGGCCAAGCTCCCAGTGAGGGGGCCTTAGTCAGAGGAGTCATCTCTGACCTCTCGCTCTGAACTCGCAGGCCCCTGCTGCCTTCTCCTCTGTTCTCGGTAACCTTCTTCCCAACTTTGCCTTGGCCTGTCCCCCTCAGGGTGAGGTAAACTGCCAAGCCACAATTTTTCTTCCCAAGCCCAAGCTCACAAAACTTTATAAGCACAGGACTTGCACCTCGGCCAGCAGGTGGGCACCGGGCCGTTTCCTAGCACTGTGTGGGCCCACCTCACCCTGTGGCTGCGAGGCACACGGAGCAAACCTCCCAGGCCGACGGCCTGTTATGAAAGATCACCTGACCTCATGACAGAGGGAGCGGAGAAGCATCCTCCCCAGCCCCGTATCTCTGACCCCCGGTGAATCCATGTACAAGCTCAGCGTTGCTCGTAAGCCACTGAGTGAGCAGAAGGGAGACAGAAGAGGGTGACCTTCAGACCAGAGGTCAGCGAGTTTTCCTGAGTTGACCATCCTTACAGTATCTGGGGATTTGGGGGGGGGGGGGGCGGGCAGAGTATTAGAAGAAAAAAATGATTTAAAACAGCTCCTATGCCCTGGCCGGGTGACTCAGTTGGTTGGAGCATTGTCTCATACACCAAAAAGTTGTGGGTTCCATTCCAGGTCAGAATACATGTCCAGGTTTTGGGTTTGATCCCAATTGAAGGCCATATAGAAATGACCGATCAATGTTTCTATCTCACATCTCTTTCCCTCTCCCTCTCCCTTCTTCTCTCTAAAATCAATAAACATATCCTCATGTGAGGATTAAAACAAACAAAAATCTAAAACTTTTGTCATCAAACTGAATTTTGTAAATACCCCATTCTTGTGTGCAGGTTCTTTCTTTTCATTCTTACCCAAATCTTTCTTTTGCTTCAGAATAAATCCTGATGACCCCTCTCCTTCCCATTGTAATTTCTCTCATGTTTAAAAAGTCCCCGGTGTTTCCACCCTCCATACTATTTCTTGGTAGCGGCCCTTCTGGATCCGCCTCAGCCCTTGGTGGCAGCTTCTGCCTCACAGAATTCCTTGGGGATGGAAGCCACAGTGAGCAGGGGGCCGGAGGCTAGAGATATTCCCCTCTTTCCTTCACCACCTTTCCCTGCTCTTTCCCCATTCCTGCAGAAACGGAAATATAGCAAGAGGAGCGTGTGCCAGGGTGCATCTCTGACACCAGCCTGGAGGCTGCAGGGCAGCGATTTCCACATTTGATCCTCAGTAGGCTCACCCAGGAGGCTCTGGACACGATACAGATTTCTGGGTTCTCCTTTAGCCCTAGAGACTCAGTGTCTCCACTGGGGATGCTGGTTGAGGAATCAATGTGATTCTGATGTAGTCAGCTTGCCAGCTGGGACCCACTATCCCTGGGACCCACTATTATGCTGAACAAAATGGCACTTTGCTGGGTGAGGAGAGAAAGAGAGAGAGAGAGAAAGAGAGAGGGGAGAGAGAGAGAGAGGGAGAGAGAGGGAGAGAGAGAGAGAGAGAGAGAGAGAGAGAGAGAGAGAGAGAGAGAGAGAGAGAAGGACACTGAGGGTGGTGGCCGTGTTGGGGGGGGGGTAGGGAAGACAGGTAAGGGCCTTAGGAGCTTTGGACAGAACGAAGCTGAGGCTTGGGTGTGTGGGGGCGTTGGGACCCTGGTGCAGTGAAAGGAAAGTGGGCGCTTGTGTGGGCCCCACGGGGTAGAGCCAGACAACAGCCAAGAAACGGGAACACAGAGATGTTGGGACAATTGCCGGCCTCCAGGGCTCGGAGCTCCCTCGTAGAGCTCACATCACACCCTCCGAAGGCAGGAGGTGCCCCGAGGATCTGTCACCCCAGGACCCTACCTCCTGCCAGTCTGCGGGGTTGCCTAGTCCTGTTTGCCTTGATGTTCTCTCTCTTTGGGATGTTATTCTAGCTGTTAGACCTAAATCATACCATGCGCAGGCTGGGTCAGCAGCTGAGACAACAGTGACAACAGCATCCCTGTGTTTAGCTGGAGAGCTCATCCCCCCCAACGAGAACAAAGCCCTTTGCAGATGCATTTCTGTTCACCCTCCTGACCTTCTAGTGAGCTGAGGATTCCTCTTCCCGCTTTTCACACGGAGGTTTGGGGGCACGAGGGGAAAAGCTTCATCCCAGGTAGCGCTGATGTTACGGACCGTTAACTCTAGAGATCCCGTCTCTGGACCTTTCCAAACTGGTCACACCTCGGGGAGAGCCCAGGCCAGGAGGCCGTGGAGGCAGAACCGGGCCTTTGTTTCTTTTATGGAAGCCTGCTGCCAGGCCTCCTTAGCTCAGAGCTCCCTCCCACCCGCTCCCCTCTCCACCATGGTCCTTCAGTCTTCTTCCAGTGCCTGATGCCAATGCCACCTGGGCAGAGCTCGGGAAGCCCCATCCAGGGGCTCAGGAAGTAGAGCCCATGGGGGTCACAGGGCTGCAGCAGGGCCTGCACAGGCTGAGGACAGGATTCTCATCATCCCTAGCCAGTGCCCGGCTCAGCCGTGGTCCGTGTGCCCCCACGGAGCCCAGGTGCCCTGGTTCCTGGGGTGCAGCTCTCTCGCCTTTTCCCTGTGTAGGTGTGGATGGACGCGGGCACCCAGATCTTCTTCTCCTTCGCCATCTGTGTAGGGTGCCTGACAGCCCTGAGCAGCTACAACAAGTACCACAACAACTGCTACAGGTGACTGGGGAGTGGGCCTGAGCCACAAACCCGCCTCCCACGGTCCCTCCGGCCGCACTGGGTCAGGGGTGATTTCATAGGTTCACCCACCCCCACTCTGCACCCCACACTCCAGTACTCCAGGGCTACCGGTCGCCGGAAGGCGCCAACGGCAGCCCAGGCAAACGGTGGGCGGGGGAGCGCCGAGGGTCCAGCCTGGGTCCCGGCGAATGTGGAGGTCACGGGCTCAGGGTGCCAGCGAGCCTGAGGAGTAAGTGGTCACGCCATGCAGAGGGGCCTCAGTCTGTCCTGCTGTGTACAGATGCCCTGGCGAACCTGGATTCCTCACCCGCCCTCCTTCACCTCTGCCCCAGCTAGTGTCTGGTTCGCTTGGCATATCTGGTTCATATCAGAGAATGTAAGTCCATGTTAATATCAGCCCCAAATAGCATTTAATTTCAATCAAATTGAGTTAACTAAGAATCACTGGTTGCTTGGGACTACCCTGGCCTGCATCCCGAACATTAGCATGGCACACTGAACTGTGTCAGAGAGATGGTGTCCCAAAGGTGTGGTGACAACGTGCAGTTTGTAATTTTTAGATTAATATTTACTTCCTCAGAGCCTCATTCTTTTGGGATGACTTTGCTTTATGCCAGCTCTTGGGTTTGGGCTGGGGGTGGGGGGGCAGCGTTGTTCCCGGAATGCTCATCATCATTCTGCTGGCAGCCCTCTGGCCTGTCTGCTGGGAGGGCCTGAGCTCCCCAGGGGCTCCCACTGCTCTGGACCACAGGCCTGAGACAATGCAGCTCTTTCTGACCTTCCCGTTTCCACCTCCCCACCTCGCCCACAGGGACTGCATGGCCCTCTGCTTCCTCAACAGCGGCACCAGCTTTGTGGCCGGGTTTGCCATCTTCTCCATCCTGGGCTTCATGTCCCAAGAGCAGGGGGTGCCCATCTCTGAGGTGGCCGAGTCAGGTGAGTGTTGGGAGGCCTGAGGCTGTGGATTCTGTGAGCTTTGAACCTTCGTCACCTGGGTTCCAGAGGCGTTGCTACTGTCGCCTTCATGTAGGTGAGCTCTGCAAACCTTCCAGTGGGCATCTCCCAGGAAGACCTGAGGGAGGACTTAAAAACAGCAATTCCGGCTTCAAAGGGTTAGTGGGCATATAGGAGACCTTTTTCTTCCCATCCCAATGTTATCAGGCCACCGATGCTGTCAGGTTCATGTTTATCCCTACAGAAATAGCTTAGGCGTATATGAGAAAAGCACATCCACACACACACACACACACACACACACACACACACTCATTCACACATAGGTACATATTGCTATGTACTTATAGCAATGGGTGCTACCTTTTATCCCCTTTTTAGAAATGAGTTGATAACACACTATATATACTGTTCTTTACTTTTTTCCACTTTAAAACCTATTGGCTCACAGTTTCTTCCTTTTTCAAGTGAATGCTATTCCATGATGCAGTCTTCTTGTTGCTTCTTTTAAATAAAATAAAGGACTGGTCTCCTATCTGGGTAAGCTCTAAATGTTTCTTTTGCTCTTCCCCTATTCTTGAAGACCACCCACTTATACTCTGTAGCAAGACAATTTTTTTTTTTTATCACAGCATTCAAAATCATACCCTTGTCATACACAGTGCCAACCACTGAGCAACTAACATCACTGACTCTTATTAAAGGTGATAATATTTTGCCCTGGCCAGTGTGGCTCAGTTGGTTGGGCATCATTCCATGAATCAGGTTCTTGGTTCGATTCCTGGTCAGAACCCATGCCGGCTCAATCCCCAGTAGGGGGCATTCAGGAGGCAGCTGATGCATGTTTTGCTCTCACATTGATCTTTCTCTCTCTCTCTAAAACAACAACAACAACAAAACACCAGTAACAAATCTTGTTTAAAAAGTGATAATATTTCACTTTTATTAAGCACTTACTATATGCCAGACAGGCACTGTGCAAAGCATTCTGCCTGTGCCATGTGGTGGGAAGCTGTGAGGCAGGTGCTAGTATTGTCCCTCTTCTCACCAATGTGGGGAGTGGGCCTTTAAGAGTTAAAGGACTGTTGAAGGTCACAGGTTCACACTCTTTTGTTTTTCAAATGAAGCTTCCTACAAATGAATCCAAGTGCTGGCATATGAGTCTGTTCCTGCTATTTAAGCCAGCTGAGAGGAACATTAATTTATCAGAGAGACTGAACATCAGTGGTGTTCTGGAAATAATGCCAGTTCACTGCTTGTAGAGTGACAGAAAAGTCCCAGGGGAGAGGGGGCCAGCTGGTGGCCCCAGGTGCAGTCTAGTCTTGGAGGAATTCTCTTTGGAACCATGTCCTCTAGAAAGAACACAGCAATTGCCTTAGTTGATGGGGGAGCATGAGGGCTCCAGGTCTCATCAGACCCTCTGCTCCCTCATTTTACTCATACAGCCTGCCTAGTCCCTGAGTTCTTCTTAAACTTCTGGTTTGGGGCAATAGATCTGAGAGGGAGGCGGGAAGATTTGGGACAGAACTTACAGAAATGTGGGTGATATACCCCTTTCTGTTTTCCAAGGCCTTTTAGACACACAGCCTCTAGGTCCTATTCCTGCCAATGAGAATACAATGGGTGGTGCCTTGAAAATTTGGGGACCCGGTAGAGGTTTGGGTGGTTTCTCCTGGGTGAGGATGGTGGTAGGGATAGCCACTTTGGGGCGAAGTTTCCTCTGGCTCCAGTTACTCACTGGGGCCACACTGACGCTGCCCCAGGCACTGGGTTCTGTTCCTCTGTTCCCTGCTGCAGGCCCTGGCCTGGCTTTCATCGCCTACCCCCGGGCTGTGGTGATGCTGCCCTTCTCTCCTCTCTGGGCCTGCTGCTTCTTCTTCATGATCATCCTCCTGGGACTGGATAGTCAGGTACCAAGAGGCAGTACTCAGAGGCTGAGAGAGGAATCGGTGTGGGTGGGCTGGGCGAGGGGGAGCAGAGGCATGAGTCTGAGCTTGATGCCACGCTGGACCTTAAAACAGTTGGGGGCTTGGTGAATGTCAGACGTGGATGCTCTTCCAGGGACCAAGAGGAGCTTGAGGGGTACATTTAGACCTAACTGTGCAAGCATTGCTCTGGAGACCTGAGTCAGAAAGCCTGGCGGGGCTGAGCCAGAGCTAGCTGATGGAGCTTATTTGGGGAGCTCTCTTTCCCTCCAATTTTCTTTGCCCTGTCATCCAGTTTGTGTGCGTAGAGAGCCTGGTGACGGCGCTGGTGGACTTGTACCCCCATGTGTTACGCAAGAAGAACCGGAGGGAGGTCCTCATCCTTGGAGTGTCTGTCATCTCCTTCCTTGTTGGGCTGGTCATGGTCACAGAGGTGAGGCTCTGGGATGCTGGAAGGTGGGGGGACAGGGTGGAGCCACGGTGAACAGCTGCCCCCTGTTCAATGGAGCAGGCTGCTGTGGTTTCAGGGCCCTCGGCCTCTCCTTTCCCAGCCACAGAAGCACCACGTAGGCAAGTCCCCTCTCCGGCCTTTGGGCATTGACAGTCTACTTACGGGGATGGGTGAGGGGTGAACTGGCTCCGTGTTAAAGAGTTTATGGACAGGATAGTCTTGTAGGAGGAAACACTGCCTCTCCATCAGCTTTTCATAATTGCCCAGGAAGCTGCACCAAATTCTGGGGATAAAGTTCAAAGGGAGACAGGTCGCCCTGGGAATGGGCAATATTCTTTGTGATGTCTCAAAGGAGAAGGAAGGCGATGGGGCTTGTCAGCTTGGTAATACCAATGACAGCCCCTGCCATGATCTGTGAAAAAAAGAAAAAAGAAAAAAAAAGTGCACATTATGTCTTGGACTTTTGGGTCAGTCCAAAATGTTCTCAGGGACAATCTAATAATAGCTCTCTTTTTCATCTATCATCCATTTAAAAACAATAATAAAAAATAATTATTGTTTCATACCTGCCTAGCGCCTTGCAGCTTACAAACTACATTATCTTTTAGTATCTGTCTTCTGTGATCCCCACCAACGCTGTTCTTTGCCCTGAGGTATGCAGCTAGATGGCAAGGCAGTAAGCCTGTCTGTTTCCTCTGAATAAAGTTCGGTTTTGTGTCTCCTCCCCGGCAGGGCGGTATGTATGTGTTTCAGCTCTTTGATAACTACGCAGCCAGTGGCATGTGCCTCCTGTTCGTGGCCATCTTTGAGTCCCTCTGTGTGGCTTGGGTCTATGGTGAGTGATTCTCCCTAACCCCGTACTCACCTCTACCCCAGCCAAAGCCCTTAGACAGAAGAGAGGTGCCCACTGCTCACACCCACCTTTTCTTAGGTCCTCCTCTACCCACCTTAAAAATCTATCATTGGAAGAGCTCCCAAGAGGTTACCTTGTCTACCCTCCTGGTTATGTCTGCACTGAAACCACTTCAGATGGGCCCACATTCTGTCCTATCCAAACCTTTTCAGCCTGTAACAGCCTTAACAATCAGAAAGTTATTGCCTCTGAGTCCCAGGGAGGAGCTTTCTTCCAGCAGTGATCTATAAAGATAACCACTGAGTATTGGTCCTTGCCCATCTTGGTCCTTTGGATGCTAAAGAATGTCCTTTCTCTCCCTTCTTTCCTTCTCTTCATTGTAGGAGCTGGGCGCTTCTATGACAACATTGAAGATATGATCGGGTACAGGCCCTGGCCTCTTATCAAATACTGTTGGCTCTTCCTCACACCAGCTGTGTGCATAGTAAGATAACCTTCAGGGAGGGAAGCCAGATGGAGGGATAGAGACCTGGCAGCAGGAGGCTAGGTTGCCTGTTAGTCCGAGAAAGGGCTCCTCTGTGTGCATGGAAAGTCATTTTAGGTTTTCTTTCATCCTCCCGTTGGATTTTAGACAATGACAGCAGAAGAATAAACTGAGGTCCAGAGCTATCGGACTGTTTGACCAGCAACACAATCTGAGTGTAATGTTGCAGGCAGGACTGAAACCCTTGAGCCACTCATGATAACACTGAGAATCACAGCAATAACACAATAGCAAAAGTTACAGAGCACTTACCTTGTGCTGGGCACAGAGTGCTTTATATATCTTAATCTATTTAATCCTCACAAGGACCTCACAAAGTAAGAATTGCTATTATATTTATTTGACAGAGAAACGGAAGCCAAAGGGGTTTAGCAAGAAGGGGTTCCCAAGCTAGAAAATGGCCGAGGGCTAGGCTTCAAGCCCAGGCTCTGGCTTCCAGAGTCTGAGTCATGAACCATCTGCTTCCTCTGGTTTGTCCATCTGAGTCAGCCACTCCCAGCACCCACCATATGCAGGATCTCAGTGAGGCCTACCCTCCATCCTTGAGGTATGCAGAGGCTTAAACAATTGAAAGGACCAGCAAGCACACTGTTATGTCTTAACTGGGAGCCAGCCATGTGTAGAGGTGCCCATGGGCGCAGGAGCCCTGGAGGGACAGGGCATTTGCCCTGGAAACACCTACGGAGGTATGTGGATTCTGTGCAGAGTGTGGATGGAGGTTGGAGGCTGATGGGCCCCAATAAGCCTGGAGGAAAATCCAGGCTGGAGTGTGATCTCTGCCAGTTCCTCCAGGGGGCGCCCAGGGCACAGGGCCCCTGCTTTCCAACCCCTTTCTCTTGTGATCTCACCCTCAGGCCACCTTCCTCTTCTCCTTGATCAAGTACACCCCGCTGACCTACAACAAGAAGTACACGTACCCCTGGTGGGGGGATGCCTTGGGCTGGCTCCTGGCTCTGTCCTCCATGGTCTGCATTCCTGCCTGGAGCTTCTACAAACTCAGCACCCTCAAGGGCTCCTTCAGAGAGGTAGGAAGTTGGTGGGAAGAAGGGCAGCCAGAGGGGGAGAAACCCTAGTGGATGATGGTAGATGGCTGCCTGCCAGGGTAGATGCTGGCCTGGGGGCGGTGAGCCTGGTGTGGGGACCAGGGAGGGAGGGGGTGAGTGCTTAAATGTCTCAGAAGGAGACCAGATGCCTCCAGGACACCAGCTGTGATTGTAGGATGGCGCCTGGAGGCATGATTGTGTATGGGGAGCAGGCAGGCGTTGGTGATGAGGGCAATTGGAGACCTGCTCCCCCTCCGCACTCCACCCCAAGGCAGCCACCTGCACTCTCCTTCCAGAGAATTCACCAGCTCGTGTGCCCAGCTGAGGAACTGACCCAGCGGAACCAAGCAGGACCCTCTGCCCCTGCCACACCCAGGACATCACTTCTCAGACTCACAGAACTAGAGTCTCACTGCTAGGGGGCAGGCCCTTGGACAGTGCCTGTGGGCCTGGCCCTGGGGACAGCAGCAGAAGGGGAGGGCAGGAGCAGTCCCTCTGTGCTTCTGTCTCCCCCCTGTCTTATCTATCTTTTGGAAGGGGCATTTGGAATCCACCTTCTGAGCTGGGTGCCTCTCACTCCAACGTCCCTGCCCCAGGGATGGCTAAGCAGGCTTGAGATGCCAGTATCCACAGCATGCCCTTTGAGGTGGGCTTGGGAAGATGGGTGAGGACTGGTGGGTGGGTTGAGAGGTCTGTTTGGCTTCTGAGCCCTCTGATCCTTTATTCCATTAAATCCAAGTTCTTCCCACTGACTGCTAGAAGTTCTGCCTCATTCCTGCCCCTTGGCCTTGCAACCTTGACACCTTTATCACTTCAAAGTTGTGGCTTTAGGAGACCCCGTCTCCTTCCCTCACTGAGTTCTTGTGGACCGTGAGCAGAGGGGATTGCTGTGGGGAGAAGGATGATGGGCTGACTGAGGTCCTCCATCACCAGACACTCGGACCAGAGGGAGTGGTATCTTTCACACCTTTGTGAGCCCTTTCCTCCTCCTCCCCCCGTGGAATGGAGAGAAGAGTGAAGGAGAGACCTCCCTAGCGACAGGAAGGAAGTGGAAAAGTGGTTGGGCTTCGTCTGCCCACGTTTCCCTTGCCTGACCCCACCTGCCAAACCTGCGTCTGTGTGCCTGCCCGGGGCTTCGTGTCAGCGGAGTAAGAGGGCCAGCAGTGGCACTACCCTATCTCAGCCAGCAGAGGGACCCCACTTCCTAAGGACTCCTGGCTCTTCCGCTGAAAAGAGGAGAGCTACCACTGCAGCACCACCAGACATGGCCACGAGGGGGTGGCTGCGCTGCGAGATGAGCTCTCGGGGTTAGGCTGCAAACAAGACCCAGGTGGAAGGCCAAGTGAGCATGGCCTTGGCCCTAGAGAATCCCACAGCCTCTGAGCTGTGTTTGGATCATGTATCTGTGTGTATGTGTGTGTGTGTGTGTGTGTGTGTGTGTGTGTGGCTGAACATACACAACTGCATTTCTCCCTAAACATGTGGAGGCTTTGGTGGTTCTCCTTTTTTTCCCTTTATTGATTAAGGTATTCCATATGTGTCCTTATCCCCCCATCCCCCACTCATGCCCTCACCCCGCTGGTGTCTGTGTAAAATTGGTAAGGCTTACATGCATGCATCTAAGTCCCTTAGGTGAACCTCGCCCCCTTCCCCACCCTCCCCTTCCTCTGAATTGATGGTTCTTCCTCCCAAGCTGTTCCAGGGGAGCATTCAGCGATTCTGGGCTGCAGGTGAGGGGTGCACGCATTCCCTGCGTGGTTTACTTAGTTGCTGTTTTACAAGTTAGCTAGTGGGGAAAGCACTGGAATCTTTTCCAGCCTTTAGGGTTTGACTTTCTGTTGTTGTTGGGAGAGTTTATAAGAATTAGTGAAGCAGCCCTGCTGTCTGTTGGCCTTGGCTGCTCCCTCTGGACACGACTTGGCGGGCCTCCCCCATATGTGCCCGGCTCAGTCACTGACCTATGGTGGGAGGAATAAATCTGCTAGAGAAACGTACTGAAACTTAAGACACCACACACCTGTCATCTCCATTCACCTGACAATATTCCCAGAACACCTACTGTGTGGCTTTGCTATGCTCATGACACATGAGGAGCAAAAACAGACTGTCTAAGTGACAGATTGTGACAAATGCAATGAAAGAACAGAGCAAAGTGCTATGAGAAAGAATAACTGGGGTGTGGAAGGAACCTGATGACTTGGGTTAGCTGGTCTGGGAAGGCCATTCTGAGGGTGTAATATCTGTCTCTCTCCATCCATTTGATCAAAGTGGCAAGAATCTGCTAGGCCTGGGAAGGGATGCAGGCAGTTCAGTAATGGTGATTGGAATCCCATTTAGGGGAGACATTAATGGTGGGTATAGTGTGAAAAGAATACATTGGTATAAGAATTAAGAGATGCAGACGCTAGTCCTGACCTGCTTCTGTCTTGCTGTGTGTCTTTGTGGAAGTTGCTTGGAATTCGGGTCGTGTGTGTGTGTGTGTGTGTGTGTGTGTGTGTGTGTGTTTTCAGGTGTAGATAACATCATGCACCCCACCCACCCATAGGTTAGTTGTAGGGCTCAAATGAGGCAGTGGGTGTGCGAGCCCTGAGGTCATTAAATCAGTTGGAGGGTGGATGAGAAGGATCTGCTCCAACAACCAACGGGATTGGCAGGCAGAGATGTGCAAGAAAAGCCACTTGCCTGGGCCAGCATGGGGAAAGGGAGCAGGAATGCGCAGGAGTGGTTTTAGCCTAGGAGCTGTGGACAGGGTGAGCTCAGTCCACTTGCTCTCTCTGCCTGGCAGGGCAAATACCAGATCCTCTGTTCTCTGCGGAAGAAGATATAAAAGGCAGGGAGCCCTCTCTTGTTTAGAGACCACACCTGTTAGAGAAGAAAGTCAAGGAAGAAAGGCAGGCAGAGAGAGCCCTGTGGCAACTGAGAGCTGACTCCAGCCCCACCACATTGGGCTGTCAATGAAATAGAAAAACCCAGGAGTTCAGAGACATCCTTGCTGTCCTCTGGCTACCTGGCCTCAGGCATCTGGTTGCAATGGGCCCAGAAAGAAGGCTACACATTTATTGAGCTTAGCATTTTTGCTAGGAGGCAAGGGAGAGGTAGCCCTAAAATAACCCTGCCTCCTGTGGGCCTAGTGCCCTGCCAGCACCGGGAATGTTGTCCAAGAAAATCAGGACGGAGTCCTCTAAGCCCCAGTCTGTCCCCTGGTTCTGGGAGACAAATGCCCTCCCAGAGTGAGAAGACTAAGATCATCCCTCCCTCAAGCTGCACCCATCCATCCACCCAATAAACATGGAATGACTACTCTGCCAGCACTGTAATAAATGCTAGAGGCAAAAAACACAGAGCTATGAAATGTGACACCTGCTCTTTAAATATTCAGTGTCTGGGAAACAGTATGCTGCAGTACAAGCATAGCTTTTTGGAGCCAGGAGTTCCAGGTTCAAATCTTAGCTCCATCATTTAGTTGCTTATGGCCTTAGGACAAATCACTTACCTTCTGTGCACCCCAAAGTTCTTATCTGTAAAATGGGGCTAATAATGTCTACATTTCAAGGTTCTTGTGAGGATAAAATGGAGCAACATGTAAAGAACCTAGCCTAAGTAAGATGCTCAGGAAATAGGTCCCAGGCCAGGCCCACTAAAAGCAGGCATGGGGGTAAAAGAAGAGAAGATTCTATGGGGTTCACGGTTCTCACTGCAGCAAGATAACTGATTCATTTAACCATATTCCGACATATCTCTGTACCCTTCTCAGTATGGAAACTGCCAGCCTCAGGTGGGCTTTCCAGGTAGTTTAGGGATCCTGCCTTTGGCACAGGTGGGGGTCTCTGGCCTGCAGGTTTACCAGTTGCTCTGAATGCCCAGTGGAGGCTGAAAGTGTGTGGGGGGGCGGGTTGGGGGGGGGGCTTGAGTATGTGAGGTTTCAAGTTAAAGGGAGGCCAGGTCAAACAAGGCAGCTGTTCTACAAGGTGAAGGAGAGGTGACAAGACTGCTGAACCATGCATAGCTCCAGGTACTAGCGGAAAGTGTGACTTGTAGACATAAAATGAATGAATGAATGAATGAATGGCTAGGATACTCACCCTCTGCCTCATTTGATTCTATTTGCTCTCTCTCCCCTTCACGGAGAGGCCGGTGGGTATTTTGTTCTGGAATAGCTGCATGGACTTTGGTGTCCTTCTGCAGTAAGCTCCATGGCTGACACTGGTGGCCAGCATGCTGACCAGGGCAGATGCAGCAGTGCAGGCCACAGCACCCCAGGTGAGCACAGGGTGACTGGAGTGTGAGTTCCGGCTGCTCCGCTCACACCCTGCTCTGCTGGGCGCGACCCCAGCCCGTCTCCTTCTTTCACAGAGGCAAAGGTCTGAGAATTTAGATTCACTCTGGCTTCCCCTTGAAGCACTTACACAGGAGGTGCTGAGGAGGTGCTGAGATACAGGGAGGGGGGTGCTTTATGGAAAATTACAAACAGAGATTCTCACTTCAATCTCAGCCCTGCTGGGAAGTTCTAAAATACAGAGGGGAAGCCCCTGCAAAGGGAAATTTCCCTTTCTCCCCACAACTTCCCCTCCTCCTTACCATCTAGAGCTGAAGAAGCACCTTCATTGCCTTGAAAGAGGCACCAGCTGTTCTGAATTAATCTGAACGCATGGGCCTATGTCAGTCCTCCAACACCCTGAGGGTGTGCTAGGAACAGGGACAGGACCCTGTTCTGGGTAAGTCCACCAGGCACACAGCATGGGACATACACATTAATCAGTACGTTTCACCTGAGAGCTGCCAGGCAACCAGACAAGGCACAGCTGTGTGCCTGAGGGCTGCCTCGACCACACACTCTGCCACCCCAGCCCCAGCTTTCAGAGGACCCACAGCAAACCTCTACAACTCCCTGTAAGCACCTATGTTATCCTAAGCAGTTTACCCTATTGCTCCAGCCCTCACAGCAACTCTACAAAGCGGGCATTGTGATGTACCGGTACCTTCTACAGATCCATACACGGAGGCTCCCAGGACGGAAAAGGACAAGAGGAGGAGTTCAGACTCAGATGTGATTGCAAACCTGTGTCCTCTGAGTTCCTTGAGGTGTGCTCTGGGCACTTTCTCTGGGAAAATCCCAAGGAAAAGCGTAGTAGTTGTACAGGTCCGGAGCCTGCCTCGAAACCACAGAGGGCAAGTACTTGGTGGAAAAGTCCAGCATGTGATTCACCCTCCTCCCGCACTCTGTCACCGAGGCCAACTCCCCTCTGAGGCTCTCGGTTTCCAGCCTGGGAGTTGGTGCTCCATCCTCTGTTCCGGGTGAGAGGGGGCTGGCCTCTGCCCGTATGTCCCCATCGCCTCATCCCTGGGAAGAAGCTGGTACCAGGAGCGGGCAAGGTGAGGAGGGGGAAGAGGGAAAGCAGGAACCAAAGGAGGAGAGCTGAGGTCAGATCTGGTCTCTGAGCCCCACGTGGAGGGGTCCTCTTGGGGCAGCATGCCGGGAGGGCGGGAGGGGCTGCGGAGGGAGTGAGTGGGGGTGGGGGACTGGGGACAGAGGACTTGACTTACTGAGATTAGATGTTGTAATCCTGGCTCACAAACTTTTGACCTCAATCCCTCCTGTTGCTCGTGGTATTTCTCTGTCCCTTCGCTTCCCAATACACTCACACACACACACACACACACACACACACACACACACACACCAGTCACTTTCTGTCTGGGAGCCCAGGACACGGCTCACTTGGGATTCTAAGCTGGGAGGACAGGAGCAGGAGCGAAGGTGGAGGACAATTTCCCTTTCAGGTCCTGTCTCTCTGGGTATTCCCGTAGTGGCTTCCCTGGGCTCTCCTGGGGACCTGAGGCATGGAGCTGAGCTGACCACAGGAGCCGGGATCGGGGCTGAGGTGAGCAGGAGGTGGGGGCTGGATCTGTCTTCGCTGTCTCCCGGGAGGGTCCTCAGAGGGGCTGCAACATGAGAGCTGAGAGGCAGACTGTGTGTGTCTGTGGTGCAATGCACTGGGCCAGAGCAAAGTCTGCTGCTCAGGATCCCAGAACAAGGGGTGTCCCAGCTCCCCCTCACCACCCACGGCATCTGAGTTGCTCCAGAATAAGCCTTGGGAGCAGAGAAGTCCATAGGTGGGGGACGGCCACAGGGAGCGAGTGAAGGAGGGGGCGATCACCTGACTAAGAGCCGGAGGGAAGCAGACAGTGCCCAGCAATGTGGGAGGAGAAGCAGACAGGAGAAACCTCGGCCATTCCTGAAGGCCCGTGGTCTGCAATTAGCAATCACTTCTGAGGGGCTCCTGCCTGCCTCCTAGCAGAGCAGGAGGAGGAAGCTGCCTGGCTCAGGGAAGGCACGGGCATGCTGGTGCCTGAAGGGGGCTGTGGGGGGCTGACGGGAGGTGCAGGCGGCCACCAGCCAAGCCAAGCAGCCCCCAGGGCATGAAGGACTAGACGGGAGCCAGTTTTGGTGCCATGCACACAGGTATGTGTGTGCAAAGGGACGTGACGGGAATGGCACCAGTGTGTGTACGTAAACGGTAACTGGTATGTGGGTGTGGGCTGAAGCAGGAGCTGGGGTGTCCCATGCTGGCCTGGGATGTGACAGGGCTGAGCTGGGGTCCCAGCAGGATGTGGGGAGTAGCGTTGCTACACTTGTCTGCTCCTCTGCTAGACCCTGGCCAGGCTTCCGCCCACATGCCTGCCTCCTACAAACAGTTAATTTTGGACTTGCAGTCTTTTGAACATTTCCTCGACGGGCAGCACTCAGCCCAGTGTGGCCGTGGGTTCTTTGCTGCTGGAGGGCACTGAGGTATGGTGAGGTCCATGGCCTGCCCCCACACCCTGCCCCAGCTTGGCAGAGCAAGTGGGCAGCCTGGGGAGATGATGCTGGGGGCTGGAGAGGTGGCAGGGCTGGGGTGGACGTGGGGAGGGGGAGATCTCCTGACTGTGGATGACACTGTTGTTTATCCTTAGCAAACGGGCTTCGGTGGAAGGGCACAGTGGGGGTGGGTGAGGGTAGCAGGAAGGCCAGGTGTACTGTCCTTCTAGCTTTTAAAAGTAACCCAGAAAGGAGAGCTCTATACAGCTGGTTTTGATGCCTAACCTCTTCCTGGACATTTGTTCCCTGAGTGTAACCTGAAGCCCGGTTGCTCAAATCAAGCCTGTTCCCCGCTGATTTACCATGGCTCTGGGCCAGCTTTCCTTTCACATGCCCTCACTTTCCTTCTGCCATTCCAGTGTTTCATTCTTACCCGTAAGCTATGGTCCTCCCAATAACATTTTTTTTAACTAAAAAAAAGTCACATTACTATCAGTTCACGAGCTTGTGTTCTCTCTCCATCCCATCTGCGATACAACCCAAATCCTGTGGCCAAACTGGGTTCTGAGATTTGTTTCCTGATCCCACACTTTCCTCTGGTTCCCTCATTCACTCCTTCCCCACCTCTGACTGCTGAGGACAGCTTAGCCCTGAAATAGCTGCTTCTGGTCTGGGAGCAGCAAGGCCTGCCTCGGGCCTCCTTTGGCAACTCCTGTGCTTGAGCTCACTCTGAGCTGAGCTCCCGTATGGCTTGTGAGCAAAGGCAATCATCTCTCCTTGTCTTGTAAGGATCTTCTTTTTATCCTCTGCTCTCCCAGCACCCCTTCTGAGCAGAGGTTACTCTCTCTTCCAGGAGACATAAAGCACAGAGAGGAGGTGCAATTTGCCTAAGGTCACACAGCAAGTTAGAGACTCAGCTCCACCACTTCCTGCTTTGGTAAGTTTGTGCCAACCATTCAAAAAAAGCTTTTACTGAGCACCTGCTGCGCTCAGTTTTTGCTCTTAATTTTTCTGAGCATTTCCTCATCTATAAAATGGAGTTAATAGTAATACCTACGTCAGAGATTTTTATGAAGGTGAAGTCTAATAATGTATATAAAGATGTATATTTTTAGGACAGAACTTATTCAAATATTAACTGATTACTATTATAAGGGAGGTTTGGACTAAAACTTTGGTTTCTATCTGGTGCTTTTTTCTTCAATGTTTTTTAGTCCATCCATCCATCCATCCATCCACCCATCCATTTGTTTGATAATGATTCAAGGGTCAATCCTCAGGGTGCCCAGCCTAAATTCTGTAGCAGCATCCACAGGTATCATCAATTTTCCCCCTGGGGCGAGACTACCCTGCTCTTTCAACCTGAGGCCCTGCTTCTCAAGCCCCCCAAGGCCTGCTGCTTACTCTGAACCCGGAGCTTGCTCCGTTCCCTTCTCCCACTCACCCTCCGGTTTCCACTGTGTGCCTCTCTCCTCGTCTCCCTGCCTGGACTGAGCTTGCAATAGCAGCCTCTGAGTAGGTGCCAATACCGGAATTTCACCCTGACATGCTTTCCCATTCCTGGGATAACCTGCATCCTTCAAGTCACCTTCAAAAATTTCCACAACCTCAAATGGCTCCTGCCACACCTTCCTAACCAACTTGGACTTGGGCTGTTGCCTGGGTTAAAAGGACCAACAAATAAACACAGACTCTTCTTTTAATAAAAAGGACCCTGTGTCTCCGCAGAGCCGTGGAGGAGCATGGGGCACTTGGTGACTCTGAGTGACTTGATGCCCCAACGCCCTTCCTTCGTAGGGGAGCAGCGGGGGATGGGTGCTGCCCTCTGCACTCTTGGCACCTCCTCCTGGCAGCGCGAGGGAAACAGAGGCAAGAGGTAGCCTCAGGGAGATGGTGGGGTGGGGGAGAGAGAAGTGGAGGCAAATTGTGATTTTTAAGTACAACACCAGGCTGCAGCCATCTGTGTTGTGGCCATTGACAAACAGACAACAAGAGGGCAGAGTAAAGCTGAGTGGCCCACGTGATTTTCCTGAAAGTGCAGGGAGCTTTGGGCTTGTTAGCAGAGCAGAGAGTAGGGAAGGGCAGCGACCTGCTATGATATGCAGCTACTTCTGACCCCTTCCTTTCAGGGTCACTCTGATCTGGAGAAGACCACCTACCAAGTGAGAATCGCTCTGGTGACCCCTTCTATCACCAGGATCCCGCCCTGTTCTCAGGACAGAGGAACAACCGAGAGAAAAAGAACAGGGTTCCCTTGAAGACCTACTCTTGGTCCTGGCACCCATCCGAGTCCTCATCTGGCCTTGCTCGGAGGCCCCACCTTTCCCTTTCCTCCCAATCAGATGCCTCGAGCTAGCGGGCTCCCATGTTTACCCTGAGTTGGTCGATCACTCTGGCACAGGGATGAGCACACAGCTGCCCAGCAGAAAACCATGCAGTCACCTAGGCCGCATCTGCCCTTTGACCTGCTGTCATCCCTGGCAGCCTTGATCCCTTCTGGCCTGAAGGCTGAGGAGCTGGGGCACACAGGTGGCTGGCTGTGAAGATCCAAAGGGACCTGGAATAAAAGGCCGGAAGCCTGGGCATAAATGTAGTTCTAAATGGTTTAGGCAAGTCACTTCACCTGTCAAGGCCTGGGTGTTCCCATCTGCCAAACGGGCAAGCTAAGATCTGCTCCCTATTTGTTTTCAGAGTCATGAGAGCAAAGTGTAACTTTAGGTGTAAATGTCATTGAGAGCTTCAGAAGAAAATCAATATTAGAGCGGCATTCCAACAACATTGAAGCAACATTCCAGCAACAATGAAAGATTAGGATGGAGAGAGCAGGGATGGCAGGCATGTGTTGGCGTTGTACAGCTCATTCCTTCTCCTCCCACCAGGCTGTGCCTGTCTCAACACCCAGCCCCACTCCCAGCTCGGCGGCCTCTGGATCCATTACGGGGCCATGGATGGGAAAGCGACTGTCCACGAGGACGTGCCTCCTGTGCTCACCTGGGTCCCCGAGGAGGGAGAGAAGCTGGACCAGGAAGGCGAGGGCCAGGTGAAGGATCGGGGCCAATGGACCAACAAGATGGAGTTTGTGCTGTCAGTGGCCGGGGAGATCATTGGGCTGGGCAATGTCTGGAGGTTTCCTTATCTCTGCTACAAAAACGGAGGTGGTGAGTTCATTTTGAGGTAGGCGCGGTGGGGAGAGCTGTGCCCTGATCACCAGGCAGTGCCCACCTGGTGCCTCCTGCCTTGGCACTGTGGTAAAACGGAAGGAGGCTGGGATGGAGCTGGAGGACCTGGGTTCGAGTTCTAGCTCCACCACTGGCCTCAGGGTCCCCCTCTGTGAAATGGCGATGATACCCCACAGGGCCACAGCAAATTTTAAATGAGCAACTGCAGGACCTAGGAGTCTGAGTTTTTAATAGGCTCCTTCATTACTCTGTATGCATGCCAGTGTTGACAGGAGCCATTTATTTATTCAACTCACATTATTGTGGGCATAGCATGTGCCAGACACTGCTCTAGATGCAAGACAGAACAAATGCCACATGTTGTCTTCTAGTGAAGGGCGGCAGATTACAAATAGGTAAAATATGTGGTACGTATGTCAAATGGTGATGTGTGAAATGGTGAATAGCAGAGCCGGGAAGAGGATAGAGAGTGCTGGGCCACAGGGTGGGGGAGTGGGGTGTGAAGTATAAACTAAGATACCAGAAATATTTCACTGAGGAGGGGACATGGACTAGAGTCGAGGGAGGTGAGGGAGCGACTCTCGTGGGTGGAATCAGGTGCAGAACACTCCGAACCGGGAGCAGCGGCTCTGCTCTGAGTGAGGTGGGAACCTCTGAGGAGTTTCATTCAGTGGAAAGACATTATCTTGTCTATGATTTTTTTTAAATGAAAGAAAATTTTATTATTTTCAGCACTGGTAGTACAAATGAGCAGGGGCATGGTAGGAAGGGGCCAGAATACTCTTTTTAAGCGCACAATTAAATGGTTTTTAGTATATTCACTCACCTGTGCAACCGTCACCACCACTAATTTTGGGACATTTTCATCGTCCCCAAAAGAAGCGCTGTACCTGTTCCCTCTCCTTATTCCCTCTCCTGCCATCCCTTGCCAACCTCTAATCTACTTTCTGTGGCTATGGATTTACCTGTTTGGAATGTTTCACATTTCTATGAATTAATTTGTGACTGGCCAGATCCATGCTTGCCTTTTGAAATACCTGTACTCTGGTGGAAATAATATATGTTTATAGTGGACATTAAAAATATTCTGGAAGGTAAAAAACAACCAACCAACCAAACAAACAAACAAACAAGAAACATTCTCATTTAAAGGTAACCATTATTTAGAAAATCCGTTGAAACACTATCTATATTTAATTTCACACATTTTTACTGAGTATCCACCACGTGCTTGCTCAGTTATTATAACAAAGTGCTTGAACCAATGACTCCAAAGAAATAGAAAAAGGATTTCCTGGGCAGGTCAGGACTACGGAGCCAAAACTGGGAGTGGGAGACTAATGGTGGACCAGAGATGAGGGGAGGCAGGAAGAAGAGATAGACGCAGTAACCTACTTCTCATTTTCCCCCATGTTATTGTTTTTTCAATAGTGTTCCCCTATGTATTTATTTATTTATTTATTTATTTATTTATTTTTATTTTTTATTTGTATTCATTTTGTACAGAGAAGAAGGGAGACAGATAGAGAGCCAGAAACATCGATGAGAGAGAGTCATTGATCAGCTGCCTCTTGCACACCCCCTACTGGGGATATGCCCGCAACCAAGGTACATGCCCTTGACCAGAATGGAACCTGGGACCCTTCAGGCCCCAAGCCGACGCTCTATCCATTGAGCCAAACCGGTACCGGCCCTTTCCATTATTTTTTAAAAATTTCATTTTATTGTTTAAAGTAATACAAATAGTATTTAGTATATAAGTCTCCTTTTCCCCCCGTTGACCCCCCCGCACATGTCCTCATTGCCCCCCCCCCTCCCGACCAAGTGTCTGTGTCTGCATACAAATCCTTCGGTTGATCAGTGACCTGCTTCTTTATCCCAGGCCACAATTTCATGGACACATAGGATGTTAGAGCTGGAGCTAAAGATGATCTAGGCAGAGCCCTCAATTCATAGAGGACACCCCAAACCACCAACCTGGATGGCAGCAGTAGGTCCCGGAAGCCAGGTTTGCTGGCTCCCACATCACTGCATGCCTCTTGCCTTGCCATCTGAAAAGAAGGGATGATGCCAGCCCAGGTTCCATTGCCTACCCCGCCTCTGTCCTGCCTGGTGGCTGCAGCTGTGGCCGTGACCTCTGTACTGACCATGGGGCAGGGTGAGAGACAAGCACCTATGACAGCGTGGAGGGACAGGCTGAGCCAGGTCACCTGGGGAATGGCAAAACCAGATCACATTTACTGTGCAGGTTCTGTGTTCCTTCCTGTCACCTATGTTCTCACTTAGTTCTGTCCCAGCCCAACTACTTGGGAAAGACATGCTGTCTTGATCATGTCCCCTTTAATGCCAGGGACTAAGCGAGGTCGGGGTCTCCCTCTGAGGTCACTGGTCTTTGAGGGAAGGTAGTAGTGAAGGTCCAGGGAGTAATTTCCTTATCTAGATGACTTATCATAGACCTATGTGGGAACTCCACAGGCTGACCTAAATGTCAATTTTTTGCTCAGTGTGGTAATATGGTTTATCACAAGCTGACCATAGCTCTGGGTGGCAGTTAAATATAGTTTTTACTAATATATTAATTACAAATAATTAATAACTATTAGTCAAAATGGTTATTGATGGATTTTTAATAATTAACTCATGATTAATCATTAGCTAATACATAGTTCTGCAGAGAAAAATCTTTCAAAAGGAATGAAAGAGTAATCTTATTAAAAAAAAAAGGCTAATATGCAAATCAATTGAATGTCAGGACAACCGGTCACTATGATGTGCACTGACCACTAGGGGGCAGACGCTCAATGCAGGAGCCCCCCCACCCTCAGTGGTCAGTGCCCTCCCACAAGGGGAGTGCCACTCAGCCAGAAGCTGGGCTTATGGCTGGTAAGCTCAGTAATGGTGGTGGGAGCAGTAGGACATCCCCTGAGGACTCCCAGACTATGAGAGGGTGTAGGTTGGACTGAGGGAACCCCTCCCCCCTGAGTGCACAAATTTTGTGCACCAGGCCTCTAGTATATATATAAATTCAGATGGTGTGGCTTAGCAGTTGAACATCAACCTATGAACCAGTTGGATTCCCAGTCAGGACAGGTGCTCAGGTTTCAGGCTTGATCCCCAGTAGGTGGTGTGCAGGAGGCAGCTGATCAATGATTCTCTCTCATCATTGATGTTTATAGCTCTCTCTCCCTCTCCATTCCTCTCTGAAATCAATAGAAAATTATTTTTTTAAAGGAAGGATAGTCTAACACATGCTACAACATGGCTGAAACTTGAAGACCTTATGCTAAGTGAACTAAGCCAGTCACAAAAGGATAATTTTTCATGAGGTGCCTAGAAAAGGCAAATTTAGAGAGAAGAAGAATGGTGTTTACTAGGGGCTGGGAGAGAGGAGAATGGGTACAGAGTTTCAGCTTGTGATGGTTGAAAAACTTCTGGAGATGGGTAGTGGTGATGGTTGTACAACAGTGTGAATGTACTTACTTAATGCCACTGAAGTGCATACTTAAAAATGGCTAAAATGGTAAAATTTATGTTATATATATTTTACCAATAAAAAAAAGAGCAGAAAATAAAAACCCCAAGCTGTGCATACCCTCTGACCCACCAATTCCTCTGTTGAAATTGATACTAAGAAGCAGATTAGACAAGTGCACAGTTTGTGGATGACGGTCTGCATCAGAGCAGTCTTCTTAGGAAGCAACAGAAAAAGCCAAAGGACATGCTGATAAAATAAACTAGGACAGATGCCCAAGGTGGAATACTATACGGCCAGTAAAATGATGGCATAGAGATGTATTTACTGATACACAAAGAAATTCATGATATACATTTTAAAATGTAGTCATGAAATAATATATAGTAGGGTCTCATTTTTTTCCAAAAAAGAAATATATATGTCTGTATGTTTAAAAGAAATTGGAAGGATATATAATGCTTTTTCCTTTCTTTTTCTTTGTACTTTCTATTTTTCTACAAAGTAATATGGATTACTTGAGAGACATTATATAATGTAGTAGTCAAAACATATGATAACACAAATAAATAAATATATTGATTTCAGAGAAGAAGGAAAAGGAAGATAAAAACATATATTTTTATATGTAAAAGGATAAGTGACTGGTTGACCAGCTGACCGTCTGATAGGTATGACGTGCACTGACCACCAGGGGGCAGACACTCAATGCAGGAGCTGCTGAGTGACAGCAACTTTGCAGAGTGTTTCCTCACAGTCTAGGACCCTTCAAGGAAGGTCGGACTGTCAGTTTTGGTCCGATCCCGGAGGCAGGGCTGAGGGACCCCACCTGCTGGAGGGACCCTGCTCACTCCACAGACGCCCCAAGTGTGGCTGGCCAGGGAGGAACTGCAAGACGTTGGCTCCAGGGCATGTCTGGCCTGTCTTGCCCAGTCCCATCCCACTAATTAATTTCTTTTCAATGTGCATGAATCCTTACACAGGGCCACTAGTATTCTATATAATAAAATCCTAATATGCAAGTCAACCGAATGGCAGAACAACTGGTTGCACACTGACCACCAGGGAGCAGACGCTCAATGAAGGAGCTCCCATGCAGGCACAGCAGGGCAGATTTGAGAGGAATTGATTCCTGTGGAGATCGAGCTGAAACTGGTAGTCAAACATCCCCCAAGGGGTTCTGGATTGCAACAGGGTGCAGGCAAGGCTGAGGGACCCCACGGGTGCTAGAATTGGTGCACAAATCTGTGCATGGGGCCTCTAGTAAATGATAAGAGAATCATTGATCAGCTGCTTCCTGCACATCCCCTAATGGGGATTGAGCCCATAATCTAGGCATGTGCCCTTGACCAGAATCAAACCCGGAACCCTTCAGTCAGCATGCCAACGCTCTATCCACTGAGCCAAACCGACTCAGGCTATGATGTAGTAGTTAAGAGCACATACTAAGACCACTTGAGTTTGTGCCTCACTTTTCTCATCTGTGTCTCAGTTTTTGAATCTTTAAAGTGGCCCCAGTTTTTCATCAATAGAATGGACATAATGGTAGGCTGTTGTGTGAGGATTTTGATGTTGGTGAAGCATTTAGAAGAGTGCCTTACATACAGTAAACACCAAATAAGTGCTAAGTGTTATTATTGCACAATAAACAATAATCCATTGGCCCATGGGTATACTTCTGAGGTGAGGTATGTCACTTTGTGACTGAAGTGGGTTCTGTGGGCTTAGAAATTCACTCATATATAATTTGCTGGATGTCTGTTAAGTCCCGCCTCCTGTCAGGGCCTGTAGTCAGTACCTGATCACCTGACTGGCTGTCACCCCCGTTCCTGCAAGTGGGGCTGAGCAGAGGAATGGCCTTCTCTGCTGAGAGCCCAGTCCAGATCAGAGCCTGGAGGAGGAAAAAAAATCCTCTGAAATTATTAGAGGGAAAATAATTTTTCCAAGGTGTTTTTTGCTTATTTGTTTTTCTCTAAAATGTAACAAACGTGATGATTTAATAATCATATCAAATTATACAGAACACATGTTTTTGTTCCAAAAATAATAAATTGACTAGATTTGTGAAGCACACTGAGAAAATAAATAGCGCATACATTAGGATCTCCACCGAAGTTTCCCTTCCAAGATCTTTCCTGTCCTGAGTAAGGTTCAGACTGGAAAATTTTCTGCCTGTCCTTGGGCACAGATAGGGGGGAGCCAACTTGTGCCCTTGGGAGGGGTGAGGAGGGAGATGAAGGCCTAGGCTAAAGGCTCAGCCCTTACCTCCCCTTCCTCTGTAGGAGCCTTCTTCATCCCCTATTTCATCTTCTTCTTCACTTGTGGCATCCCGCTGTTCTTCTTGGAGGTGGCATTGGGCCAGTACACCAGCCAAGGGAGCGTCACAGCCTGGAGGAAGATCTGTCCCCTTCTCCAAGGTAAGTGTTCCCCCGGGCCCACCTCCCCGCAGGCCACCAGCCTGCCTCCATCCCACTGTTGACTCCCCAGTCCTATCTGCTCACTACCCTGTCATTGAACCACTGTCATGCTGTGCTAAGTGCTGTGGGGCACTTAGGAAATACAAGCTGGCTTATGCATCCTGAGGAGGAAGGCATTCCTCAAGAAAGCCAATACAAGGTCACACATGAAAAACCAGGAGCAGAGCCTTGCCAAGGGGGACCCTGAAGCTTCATCTTAACCAGCTTCATGGAAAACGTGTTCCTGTGTGCTAGTATACGGTGTGGTCCCAGACGCGCCTCCAAAGTATATAATAATAGTGATGATGATGATGTCTAACACCCTTTGAGCCCTACTGTGTGTCAGGGTTCATGTCATCACTTTCCCTGCAGTTCCTCACCTAATCTTCCAATGATAACTCCAGTCACCTCATTTTGTAGATGTGAAAAATGAGGTCATTTGCCAAGGATTTGAAAAATGAGGTCCCAGATCTACCTGAGCTGAAGGGCCATGCTCTTTCCTATGTTAGGGATTATGTTAGGGACAACCCCTGCCCTCTTCTCTCTGCATCTGTTGGCTCTAATGTGAGTAGCTTGGGGTGTTCTTCCACCTCCCACTCCCCTTCAGTGGATTGGGCCAGTCCCCTTCCGGCCAGCGGGAGAGAAACCCAAGGGATCTCCTCCTTCCTGAGAGGGCCCTTGAATATGTGAATCAGAGACTCTCCCTCATGTCAGCCCCCGAGGGAGCTCCAGGGCCTAGGCTGCCTAGGGCTGCTGCCCAGCTTGGTAGGCTGGGCAGAAGTGGGCATAGCGAGGGACACTAGCTCCTGGGCAGGCTGGGAACCTGACTGGGGGAGGGGAGGCAGGCTGGCCTGGCCGATCCTCTTGGGCCTCATGGGGCCCTGTGGGGGCAGAGTGGAGCTTGGCCCACTCAGGTTTCTACTCCAGAGTTCTGGGGCTCCGGGAGTGCTGTGCCTTCTGGCTGAGCACACAGCTGGGTTCTATTCAGGACCAAGCCAGCTCAGAGGCGGCACAAGCAGGGCTGGCCTCTGCAGCACACAGGTAATTGACAGGGGAACATGGGCAGGGGAGCGGAGCCAGCACTGGGTGGGGGTTGGGGGGTGGATTAGGCTGGGGTAGGGTTAGGCTGCTCCCTTCTTATTTTCCCAAAAAGAGACCCCATGGCCTAAGGTCTCAGGCAAAGGCTCACTGCAGTTGTGTGCGCCCATGCTGGTGGGACGGTTCAGGCTACCCAGTACATGCCCAACTGCCAGGCCCCGCCCCATGGCCACCCTCCCGGGGCGCCTGAGCGCACGCGCGAGGCACCGGAGAAACTCACCCCTCAGCTCACCCACAACCACCGACCCCCGCAGCTCACACGCCGGCTCGGGCTTCCTGCGCCCGGTCCCCACGCACAGCGATGTGCGGGCCCCTCCCGCGGCGGCCTCCCGGCGGGCGGGGCTCCCGGTGGCGGCGGCGGGAGCGCCGCGCACAGTGGCTGCTTGTTTGGGGTGCGGCTCTGTTCGCACTAAACACCCCGCCTGGCGGCTGCCAGCTCCTGGGGACCCCCCACAATTGGGAGTCCTCGCCACGTCCCCTCCCGTGGCCCAACCCCAGGCTGCCCCGTCTCTGTTCCTGTCTCCCCCCTCCCCCAACCCCCCCAAACCCTACTGAGTTTGCCAGGCCAATGGGAATCTGGGCCTGGCACGGAGTGGGGCGGGGGAGGGGGGGCGAGAGGGGGCATTGTTGCCAGTCAGCGTGGATTGTTCCACCAGCCCTCGCTGGCTGTCTAGGTCTTCCACCTTCTTCATTAGTTCTTGAGTTTGGATGAACAAGCAGCTGCTCTCCTGGGCTGCTTCCCGCCCCCCCCCCCCCCCCAACCCCCAGCGCCCCATCCCTGCGGGCTCTCACACTTGAGAGCGCTCTGCTACTTTTAATCCAACGTGGCAAAGGCAGGGTGGGTGGGTGACTGCTCCTGCTCTAACCACCCCCCCCCCCTTCCCCGCCCCAGTCTCCTAGGGTTGGTCCAGGAGACTGGCTGCACCCTAAGCCCCCACTGGTGCTAGGTGTTCAAATGACACGCAGCACTCGCCGCCCACACTTGCCCACAGGGGGAGGTGGCATTTAGACTGAGCAGGCTCCACACGTTGGGACCGCTCTTTTCCTTGCTGCTTTCTTCTGGTTTTGGCTCTTCTTTTGAGCCTTATTTTGAGACAGATTCTACCAAAATTTCCATATTTACTCCTGTGTTCTTCCCACCCTTTAAAAATGTTACAAGTGATGTATGATTGTACTGGAAAAACTAGGAAATGCAGAGAGGCAAAAAGAAAAAAAAACTGTAAGAAGTGAACTCAAATCTTATAACCTAGAGCAGTGACTTTTAACTCGTGGGCCTCAAGAATTTTTAAAACATGCAATTCCTGACTATTTAGTTAGGGACAGTGACCTCTTTTCCCTTAGACTGCCAAGCTAAAAAATGACAACAGCCAGCACAACAATAGCTGTTGGGTGTGAATGAATAAAATTATACCTACTTTTTTTTTGGTCAGATTAGTAAAAAAATGTGTTTTTTTTTAGTGTGCTGCAGAATTTTAGTAATTAGTTTATGTGCATCATGAAAAGGAAAAGGTTGAAAAATCACTGACCTAGGGAACCACTTGTTAATTTTTGGATGCCCATCCTTCCAGATTTTTTTCTCATAAAAAAAAAATCAAATAATCTATATAATAAAAGGCTAAGATGAAAATTAACTACATAGCAGAAGGACCAGTCACTATGAAGTGCACTGACCATCAGGAGACAGATGTTCAGCGCAGGAGCTCCCCCCTGGTAGTCAGTGTGCTCTCACATGGGGAGCCTGCTCACTGCAGCAGCAGTGGCAGGAGCCTCTCTGGCCTTCTCAGCAGCGCTGCTGACATCCCACAAGAGCTCCTGGATTGCAAGAGGGCACAGGCTGGGCTGAGGATCCTCTCTCTTCCCAGTGCACGAATTTTGTGCACCAGGCCTCTAGTACAGTGGTCAGCAAACACAGCTCTTGAGCCACATGCGGCTCTTTGGCCCCTTGAGTGTGGCTCTTCCACAAAATACCACATACACTAATTAAGTTGATAACAATGTACCTACCGATATAGTTTAAGTTTAAAAAAATTGGCTCTCAAAAGAAATTTCAATTGTACTGTTGATATTTGGCTCTGTTGACTAATGAGTTTGCAGACCACTGTTCTAGTATATCATAAAAATGGAAGGATGCTTAAGGATAGTGTTCTGTAACCTGCTTTTCTGGCTCAGAAAAATAATCTGTAAATGGCTTCTCAGGCCAATAAATAAAACCTGGTTCTCTCTGTGTAGCACCTAGTATCCTAATCACAACGGGCAGTTTCTAGGTGACTTTTGGGGGCTGACATTGATCTCATGGATTCTCTTATTGCTTCCCGCCCCTCCCCCACTCCGGAAGGCATTGGTTTGGCATCTGTGGTCATTGAGTCCTATTTGAATGTCTACTACATCATCATTCTCGCCTGGGCCCTCTTCTATCTGTTCAGCTCCTTCACCTCTGAGCTGCCCTGGACAACCTGTACCAATACCTGGAACACAGGTATCTATCGTTCCACCTCCTGGGATATGGTCTCTCCCTAGGGGCTGGGCTGTGGTGGCTGGATTGTGTCAGAGGTTGGTGAGCGGGAACAAGAGCAGAATGAGGCAAATGGGGTGGGGAGACTGAGCCCATGAACCATCTGAGCAGCCAATTCCTGACACTCTGGAGGTGGGGGCTTCCAAGGAAGCTCTTGGGATCTGGAATGTTGGCAACCACCAGGCCTCAAGACCAGAGGGACAGAGGTACTAGGGTGTGAGGGCATCTCTTCCTATCTCATCCCTGGCTAATGCACGCTTCACCTTTTCCCCAACAGAGCACTGCATGGACTTTCTGAACCACTCAGGAGCCAACACAGTGACAACCTCTGAGAACTTCACCTCACCTGTCATAGAATTTTGGGAGTAGGTGGTGCGCCTGGTTGCCATGGGCCAAGGGGCCTCAAGCAGAGGAAATTTGGATGTCTGAGGCATGGGGTGCAAGTTTGAGGCTCTCTGTGCATGTTTTCCAGCACTTACCCCTACCCCACACATCACTGAGAGATGAGGGGAGGCTCATATCTAACCACAGCTGTCCACCTACATCTGCCAAATCTATCTATGTTCACTGAGACTCACACATTTATCCACCCTATACCCTCACATTCCCTGTACAAGATTTGCACATCTACCCACCAAGACTTGCACATCTACCCACACATGTCCACTAGTGTCCTGGAAACAGTCTGGACCCACTTAGGAGAGCTAATACACATCCCATCCCAACTCTTTGTTCAGTCACATTGGCCAAGGTGGGAGTATTTACACCACAGAAATTGGCAGACTAAACACTCACACATTCACTTTCCCACATGACCACTTATACCCTCACACCTACCTGTGCCCACACTCACACATTTTCATCACTCCTGTACACAGCTTCAGGCACTATTATACACTCAACCCCTCCACTTGATACTCATATACTTGCTCATCAACCTGCATGTATAAATATTTACTCTCCATATACTCATTTATACATTCCTTACCTCACCTCTCCCTCTCTCTCTTTCTCTTTCTCTCTCTCTCCAACAGAGAGATCTGAATGAGTTAGAAAGACAAAGATGCCTATGGTATTACATGATTCGGTCTTCTAACAGCCAGGGGCATACAGACAACAGGTGGGAACATGGCAGGGCCATGGGAAGGTGGAGTGGGTGGGGCAGGGAAAGTCTGGAATATGAAATTTATGGGATCAGCTCTAAGAATCAGGAGACTTGATGACAGAGGCAAGTTGTCCCTTTTAGCCTTTCACCTGTTTATTTATTTTTCCACTCATTAGGAGACGTGTTCTGGGCATCACTGCAGGCATCCACGACCTGGGAGCCCTGCGTTGGGAACTGGCCCTGTGTCTCCTGCTTGCCTGGATCATCTGCTACTTCTGCATCTGGAAGGGGGTCAAGATCACAGGCAAGGTGAGGTGCTGCGATTCCTGGTAAGCTCTCTGTGTCCCTAGAGCATCCAGGGACACTCACAGCATCCCTTTGGAGAATGGAAAGAAAGCATAGTTTAAGGGAGAGGCCCAGTGAGAACATGGGAAATCGTAGGAAGGCAGAGTTTAGTTCAATATAAGGAAAGCCTTCCTTTTTTGATATGATTTTAAAAGGCCTCTTTATGTAAGTAATATGCAGAGAAAAATCAGAAACATAAAAGGCCCACTGTCAGAGCTAAGCATTGTACAAGCCATCAGCGCGATGGCAGGTTGGATATACAAATCCCTCTGTTAACCTTTTGCCATGTTGCCTTCTAGTTTCCTTTATACGTGTGTATGTGTGTAGCTGTGCCTGGTACATGTGTATATCACACCGCTAGGATCAGACACTCTTTTTGTTTTTGTTTTTTAATCCCCATCTGATGATTATTGATTTTAGAGAGAGGGAAGAGGAGAGAGAAACATCAATTGGTTGTCTCTGTATACATGGAACCCACAATTGGGGTATGTGCCCTGAGCAGGAATTGAACCCACAACTTTTTGAGGCATGGGAAGATGTTCCAACCAACTGAGTCAGGATTGGATCAGACACTCCTATGACTTGCTTTCTGTATTTAACAGCAAACACATCAAGACAATGCCTAGCTTGAGCTAGCACACAGACCTGTCTTTGAGGTGGCTAGTTCCAATCACTGAAGGGGTTATAGCCAAGAATGGACCACAGTGCTTACTGCACTGAGACAGTTCAGCTTTGAGCTAATTTCCAACCAGAGAGGCTGAGACGGATTCATGCTCTTTAAAGCCAGGATCAGACAGGCCTTGACTTCTTTGACTAGCCTGCTCCTGCAGCACCCCCTGCCCCATTCCATGGATTGTTGGAATAATAATGAAACAGTGACAGTAATGACAAAAAAGCCACAGTAATAATAACAAGGACTCTGCCACCACCTGGTAAGGGGCTGAGGTTGGCCAGGACCAGGGTGGATTCCCCTCTGAGTGTCTCCAGGATACCTGGAACTCAGACCACCCACTGCTGCTCCCCAGCCTTCAGCCTGGAAAATACAGTCTTTGTTCCTCACAGATCACTGTACAAACCTGCCCTCCTCAGGGGACATGAAGAGGATGGCCAGAATAAGGGGTTAAGGGAGACCAGATTCTGGATTTAAAAATAGTCTTTGAAATGTTACGGCTGGAAACTTGTAACCCTCCCTGCCCTCCCTTCTCCCCCTGGCCCTGTTGATGTGTCTCACACTCTGCTGGGGGCCCAACACCCACAGGAACATGGAATGAAAGTGCAGAAAGTTTGTGTGTTGGTCCCTCTCAGATGTCTCTCAGGTGTTGGACACTGAGCTAGGTATGGCTTGTGCCTCCCTGGGAGGGGTGACAAGAAGACCACAGCAGGTCCCTGTGACCTCCTGGCTGCTGTGACCGCACTAGGAGTAACTTTGACCTGCTTTCCTCCAAGGTTGTTTATTTCACAGCCACGTTTCCCTACCTGATGCTGATCATCCTATTGATTCGAGGCGTCACGCTTCCTGGAGCCTACGAGGGCATCATCTACTACCTGAAGCCGGATTTGTCTCGCCTGAAGGACCCCCAGGTAGGAACTGTGCTGGGGATCATTTTCCCAAAAGTCTCTCATCCCAAACCAGATCTGTACTTTTGAAAGCCTTTGATTGCTTTCCTCCTGGTTTAAAGGCAATCAATGTCCACTGGAGAAAACTTAACATGAAAAGGAACTAAAAACCCACCACTCAGCTACATACAGTCTGTTAGCATTTTGATTTTTTTTTTTTTAAATCCTCACCTGAGGATATTTTTTTCATTGCTTTTCAGAGAGAGTGGAAGGGAGTGAGTGAGGGAGGGAAGGCGAGAGAGAGAGAGGAAGGGAGAGAGAAACGCTGATGTGAGAGACATACATCGATTGGTTGCCTCCCACATGTGCTCTGACAGGGAATCAAACCCACCCCTTTGGTGCTGAGCCAACACTCTAACCAATTAGGAACACTGGCTAGAGCTTCTGTTAGTATTTTAGTATATTTCCTTCCATCATTTTTTCCTAGCTGGATGGTGTGTGTGTGTGTGTGTGTGTGTGTGTGTGTGTGTAAGAGAGAGAGAGAGAAGGAGAGAGAATGATAACATAGTTGAAATAATTATATAATATACTGAGTAGCCAGATTATTATGATCTCTGAATGCATAATAATCTGTCCACTCAGTGTATATCCTATATAATAAAAGGCTAATATGCAAATGTCTCCTTAACCAGGAGTTCAACCAGCAGGCAAGCTGGCCAACCGCCCATGTCTCCTCCCCCTGGCCAGGATGGCTGGACCCCACCCATGCAAGAATTTATGCACCTGGTCTCTAATAATCTGAGTGGCCAGGTTATTATGCGTTCAGAAGTCATAATAATCTGGCCACTCAGTGTATATAGAGATACATATTTTTTCACTTATATTTAAGCATTTTTCATGTTATTCAGTTCATTTGTAAATGCCATTTTTAACACTCGCATACTATTTCCTCCATCCATCCATCCCACCCATTTATTCACCCATCATGTCCTGAGTGTCACACCTGGGGCCAGTATCATCATTTACTCCCGCCTTCCCCTGTTCCGGACGTACAGGCCATGTGTTTTCTTACTATTGTATGTACGGCTGCAATGAGCACCTGTGTTTAAATCTTTGACCACATCTCTGGTCATTATTTCCAGACAGTAGTTAGACGTGAACATACTAAGTCAAAGAGTGTGCACATTTCAGGTTCTTGACCTGTCCCACTGCAGAGATGCAGACTGCCACTGCCAGCGTTTCAGCAAGGACCATAAGAGATCGATTATGAGTTATTTTAATCATTGATAATTTGATAGCCAAAATAATATTATATTGTTGGTTTATTTAAAAAATTTTTTATGACTGCAAGGTTGGATATTTCCCCACATATTTATCAATGATTTGTATTTCCTGCTCTAGGACTTGTCTGAGCACATTCTTTTTCTCCACCCCCTCCACCCCCAGAATGCTTGGCGTTTCTTCTCTCTATTTCAATGCCGTGGCCCCTACGCCCAGTGTGGCTGCCCAAGGCACACTCTGCTTGTTGAATTGGGCAAATGCCTCTTGGCTCCCCGTGCAGAGGGCCTCACCTTGTCTGGGGCATGGCTGTGTGTGACAGACTCCACCTAAGAATTTCAAGTAACACACTCTTACTTGGTGCTTATCTAGTGGCCACAGAACCAAGCTACAGATGGATCCTGCCTGTGGGAGGAGGGTGTGGTCACAAAGGGTTGGGATTAAGGGACTCTCTGGGAACATGGAGCAGGCCCTCTGGGCTTCCGCTCTCTCTCTCACCACTTCCTTGGGGTCCTTGTAGGTGTGGATGGATGCAGGCACCCAGATCTTCTTCTCCTTTGCCATCTGTCAGGGGTGCCTGACAGCCCTGGGCAGCTACAACAAATACCACAACAACTGCTACAGGTAGGGACCTGGCGAGGGGCCCTGGGGGAACCTGCCTGCCCGAGTCTGAGGAGGGCAGGTCCTGCATTGAGCCCAAGACTTCCTTCTTTATTATCAGGAGCAACAGGTTGTGTGAAATTGGCATTCTGGGTTCGTTTCCCAGATCGAATTTCTCTCTTCCTCCCTCTTCTGTCTCCCTTCCCTCGCTTTTTGAAACCCCTTGTTTGTCCTTTGCTTCCTGTTTTTCTTCCCATTCACTCTTCCTTTTCTTATACTCTTACTGTCTTCTGATCTCTCCTCAAATAATAAATTTCATTCTCCCCCCCCCCTTTTTTTTAATCTGCATTCGCCCGCCTGCAGGGACTGCATTGCCCTCTGCTTCCTGAACAGTGCCACCAGCTTTGTGGCTGGATTTGTGGTCTTCTCCATCCTGGGCTTCATGTCCCAAGAGCAGGCGGTGCCCATCTCTGAAGTGGCGGAGTCCGGTAGGTGTTACATTGCTGTCCGGGACCTGAGGGGAAGGAGGGTCAGTACACAGATCATCCTACAGGAAAGCAGGGGTCCTCTGAGTCTTTAAGCATTAAGGGCACAGAGCAGGGCCTCCATAACCCTGGGAGGGAGGGAGGCGGGATAGGATGGTTGGATGGACCTACAGTTGCATGCATGGATGGAGAAAGGTGGATTGTTGGACAGCATGCTCCCCGGAACCTGGGAAGAGCAGAATAATGAATGGAATCACCCTGCCCTCTTGAACCACCCCTATTACACACACACACACACACACACACACACACACACACTCACAGACACACACTCACGTGCACACACACACACATACATGCACACACACACATACACACACACTCATGCACACACACATATCACATGCGCATACGCAGTGCCTCTGGAGAGGGCCTTTCCTGAGAGAGTGAGAGCCATAGGCTCACCTGATTGTGTTGTGTTCTGGCAGGTCCTGGTCTGGCCTTCATCGCATTCCCTAAGGCTGTGACTATGATGCCCTTATCCCAGTTGTGGTCCTGCCTTTTCTTCATCATGCTCATCTTCCTAGGGCTGGACAGCCAGGTTCGTCACCTAGCCCAGCCCTGCCCTGCCCAGCCCTGCCCTGTCCTGCCCAGACCTGTTCTGCCCATTCCTGCCCTACCCAGCCCCGCCCTGTTCTGCCTAGCCTTGCCCTGCCCAGCCCTGCACTGCTCTGCCCTGTCCATTCCTGCCCTGTCCAGCCCATCCTTGCCAAGCGCTGCCCTGGTGACTATCTTTTCAGCTTCTGCATTTCCTTGCATTACCTTCCCTCTACCTCCCCTTCTCTTGACCATACATTTTAAGGCCTTTTCCACTGTCCAGGGCTTGTCCTTGGGGTTAGTGGGGTGACCCAGATCTCGAGACCCTCTTTGGTAAGAGGCCCAGTGCTTTGCTCCCCCGCACCTGACCCTTCCCCATGCTTGGATGCACCCTCCCAAATGTCCCTCCTGCCTCCTTCCAGATACTTGGCTCAAGCTGCCCATCCTGCCCCCCATAGCCTTGGGGACAGAACACATTTCCGCTCTCCAAGTCTCACTGCTGGGGCCCTCTTTTGTGGATATGCGGCCAAGGGCAGAGATGACCTCACCTCTGGCCATCACCCATGTCTGCCCTTTGTACCCCCGCACTCCTGTGCATCAACAGGGGTAGTGGGGTGAGAGGAGGCTGGGGCAAGGCTGTGCTGGGGAAGGCCCAAGGGCAGGGCCCCTCTCACTCAGCTTCCCTCCTGGCCCGCAGTTTGTCTGTGTGGAGTGCCTGGTGACAGCCTCCGTGGACATGTTCCCCAGGCAGCTCCGGAGGAGCGGGCGGCGAGAGCTCCTCATCCTTGGCATTTCCATCCTGTGCTACCTGATAGGGCTCCTCCTGGTCACCGAGGTGAGCAGGGGCGGCGCTGCGGCAGAGCTCCAGGGTGAGGGAGCCATGGGGACACCGCTGACTTTCTCAGAGCCACACTTTTCTCACCTGCTGGCCAGCGGTGTTGACACCTCACAGTGCGATTGTAGGGACCACACAGTAGAACCCATCTCTGTTTGTGAGCTCTGTTTTGGTTTTAGAAACCAAACACAAGCTGGCTTAAGCAGAAAGAGGAGTTTGGGGGTCGAGTAGAAATAGTCTGTTTTATCTGTGGTTGGACCCAGCTGCTCTAATGTCATGGTCAGAAATGCCCCTCTCTATCTCCTGGTTCCCTTTCCTCTAGTGACCTCATTCTTAGCCAGATGGCCCTGCTGATAGTAAAGAAGGCAACTTCTGCCACCCAACCACCCCACAGGAGAGCATGGCAAGGGTCCAGCCAAGCCTCTCCCTCAGGCCTGGAGCAGGGAGAGGAATGCTGGGCAAACAAGCAGTGTATGCCCACCACAGTCCCAGCGTCCTTGCAGGTGTGAGAATTGTTGCCCTGATGTAAAGTGAGTGGCCAGGAAGCAGGGAGAGGTAGAGCAAACTCCTTCTGGAGGCAAGGAGAAACTTCCCATGGGCAGGGGAGGAAGCCACGGACAGAAGCTTTCCCTGATGCTGGGTGGTGGAATGTGGTCCCTGCTCCTATTGGCCAAGTTCTCACTCTCCACCCTCCTTCACAGGGCGGGATGTATGTCTTCCAGTTGTTTGATTATTATGCTTCCAGTGGCATATGCCTGCTTTTCCTCGCAATGTCGGAAGTAATCTGCATCAGCTGGGTGTATGGTAAGTGGGTTGGGGGGTGGGGAGGAGTTCTGGAACCCAGCTCAGGGTGGGACTTTACGGGGGAAGGTGAGGCTCAGAGTTATGGTTCCTTCCTGAGCTCACACAGCTAGTAAGTGGAAGAGGCGTCTGGTTCCACTGCACCAGGTTGGGGGACACATTGCCAAAGTCACAAAGCTCAGGGCAGAGAGGGTAAGGGGTGCCACGTACTGGGGCCTTGTAACAAGCTATGAATAGGAGAGCTTTCATTTTGCTGCCCTCCGCCTTCATGTTTGGTGTCCTTTCTGCTCCTTGGAGATGTCCTGTCCCTTCTCACTCAAGCACCCGATGTCTTCCCGATTGTCCCTCTTTCTTTTCAAAACCTGTTCTCAGAGAGGGTCTGATGAACCCAACCACAGTGAGGTTGAGTCTTAATATGTTAAACCTACTCAAGAGTATTTGGTTTATAACTGGGGAGAAATTTACAAGGCAGAGGAATGACTCTTTAACGGTGGCATTTCCTGCCTTAGTGGTCTTCTAAGTGCCTTTACCAATCAGTGGCTCTTCACTTAGAAGATAGAGCAAATGTGAAAACCTGAGGCCATTAAACAAAGCAAGCATCAGTGTTTTCATGTGCACTAGTCAACCCTCTCCCCATGCGTGACTGAGAATGCAGGGGATTCATCTGGAGTCGAGAATTAGGCTTCCCAGTAGTGATCTCCCCCTCCCCTTCCCTCTTCTCCCCTCCTTTCCCCTCCCCTCCCTTCCCATGGAGATCTGGCTCTATCAGAGTGGAAAGGATATGCTTGAGCAGTGCACACTTGCTGTTTTGTGTTTTGACTTGAAACCGAATTCATCTTCGCTATGCAGATAAACAAGCATCTGTATATATAGCACCGAGTCCCATTGTAGGCTCTCACCCACTTGTGTGGTTAGGACAGTGGAGTCTTCATCCAATGACGGGGACAGAGACTGCGCCCAGAGTTTGGGTGACCCCAGGGCTCCTGGCTTGTTGGTGGCAGCTCCTTCTCCCTCCCCAACTCCCAGCACCGTGTCTGGGTGCCAGGGACCCATCTCATTCACAGGGTGGGGGGAAGAGCTACCAAGTGGGTCCTTCCCAAATACCCATGAGCTGTTCCCACCCTTCTGTTCTCATTCTTCCCCCACTGTGCCTGGCAGGGGCAGACCGTTTCTATGACAACATTGAGGACATGATTGGCTACCGGCCATGGCCCCTGGTAAAGATCTCCTGGCTCATCCTGACCCCTGGACTTTGCCTGGTATGTGCCCACCCAGCTACCCCTTTATTCCCTCCTGCCTGCAGCAGACTCAGTGGGGATGAGGAACAGGTTGCCCGAGTTGTGGGGCTCTGTCCTTGCCTGTCCAGTGATCTTGGGAGGCTGGTCCATTCCCTCAGATGTATTGGTTCCCCTGACCCTTCTTTTCTGGGGCTGTTTCTCCATATGTTTGCTTTACTGCCTTTATTATTTATTCCTATTCCTTCTCCATCCCTTTCTCACAGCATCTCCAGCCATCTGCCCGATTTCCCAGGTATTGGTCTCTTTGTCTGCTTAGAGCTCCTCCATCTCTCTTCCTTTCCTTTGTGTCTCCTCCTGTCTCAGTCTTTGATGCGAGTGATGCCTAGGCCCACAATTTGCAAATGGCTTTTACTTTTTTAAAGCAAAAGCCATTTGCAAATGTACCACAGTGTATTTAAATTGTCTTCTGTCACTGTGTATTTAAGTAGAAAGGAGAGAATTTCATTGGCTCTATCTCATCTGTGTCTGACCTCCCTGCCTTCTGCCCCACTCTTTCTAGGCCACGTTCTTCTTCTCCTTGAGCAAGTACACACCTCTCAAATACAACAACATCTATGTGTACCCTCCCTGGGGATACTCCATTGGCTGGTTCCTGGCTCTCTCCTCCATGGTCTGCGTCCCACTCTTCATCATCATTACCCTCCTGAAGACCCAGGGTACCTTCAAGAAGGTAGGCGCTGAGGGAAGTGATAAATTCAGGAGGGCACTGAGAGAGATGGGTCTTGGGCAACACACTACTGCTGGGGGCCACCTACGAGTGTGGGGCAGCTTTTTAGTCAAATAGAACCTTAAAGAAAAAGGTCTTTGAAGATCAGTCTAATCATTTCATGTTCAGAAACATTAGAAAGTCCCAGAGTCATAGACCTTTAGAATCTGACCTCTAAAAGATCATGGAGGAAGGTTAACCAATGGTCAACTGTCAAAGGGTTAAGGGGAAACTAATTCAAAAGAAGAACATAAATAGCCCAGACACAGAGCTAATAGAGCACAGAACCTTTGCTCTCAGGAAACTGATAACTGGCTATCATGGTTCATTCTACACAGTCTCCCAGCATCTTTTCTGACCTTAACCTTGTGGGGATCCATGCGCAAGAATCCTCCTGTTTAGAGTTTGGGACATGTCTTCCTGGAAGAACATATAGTCAGTGTCTCACAGAGATATTACAATATAGAAATCTATCTGGTCTACAAGTAGCAGAAAACTCAACCTGCAATAAGCAAATAGGCTTATTTTTTTTCCTTACATATCAAGAAGATCAGAGGCAGGGGGTGCTGACATTTTGTTCAGCAGCTTAAAGAGGGCGTTAGGGACCAGACTCATCCTATATTCCTGCACTGCCTAAGTGAGCATGTTGTGTCTTCATTGTATCACCTCATCGTCATGAGAAGGTTGTCATGACTCCAGCCCTCACATCAGCAATCAAGGCAAGGAGGACAAGGGGGATGATACCACAGACCCCAATAATGATAGTAATGCAGTATTACTACTAGTGAAAATAATAATAGATATTTATTGAGCATATAGTAGTAAGAAAATTAGTAATAATAAGAAGAACAAAAATAGATACTTATTGATGCTCTACCCTGTCTCAGATACTGCTCTATAAGGTACTCTTATAATCCTCATTTTACAGATGAGGCAGAGAGAGGTTTAAATGGGTTGCTTAAGATTGCACAAGTAACAGAGCCAGAAGTGGAACCTAGTTCACATTCCTAATCACCATATTATTGCCTCTTCTCTCTTCTCAAAATATTTATTTATTCACTCATATGGTACTGAGCTGCTCCCATGTTCCTGGCTCTGTGCTGGGCTTTGAAGATACAGACATGAGAAAGCATCTTTGCCTCTCTCACCAACAATACCCACTCATTCCCTCTTCTCTCCACAGCGCTTGCGACAGCTCATCACCCCTGACCCCAGCCTGCCACAGCCCAAGCAACACCTGTATCTGGATGGTGGCAGCAGCCAGAACTGTGGACCCTCCCCAGTGAAGGAGGGACTGATAGTTGGAGAGAAAGAGACCCACTTATAGGATGTGGCTGAAGGCCAGGGGGCTCCTGAGCCAGGAACCTGGGTCAGGGCCACCCTCTCCCCCCAGTGGACAGCCTTTGCCTCTGTCCCCACCACAACCCTATTGAGAATGCTTGCGATGTCTGGGGCACCCCCAGCGAAGGCAAGATTCCCTCTCTCTTCTCCCAGCGGAAGCAGCTCCTCCTGGTGGGCTAAAGACGGTCCTGCTGGAACACACCACGCTGTGAAGCAGCTCCCTGCTGGAACCCACTGTCTTATTTATAAAGGAGGGTGGTCTTTTTGGCGTTCACCATCTGATCACAGCGCATTACACTGTGAGGATCTCCCACTGCAGGGATGCTTCCTGTTAGAGTTTACCATATTTGTGCACTGGAAGACAGTGCCAATTGGAATACACATCATGATCTGATTCAGAGAACTCGACGGAACTCTGTGCTGGAAGTGGCATTGAACACACCATATTGGATTCTGACATCCCATTAGAGGGGATCCCTCACTAGGTGTAGCATTCTGGAGTCTGGGGGAGGGGACTGAGAATCAGCCAGGAGGCAGATCTTCACAGGCTATCATTGCATCGACTTTTCCAGGAGCCAGTCTCTGCCAGTGTTCCTAGTGCCAGTGCTAGTTCTATACTCTTCTTCAAATATTATCATCAACTCATGGAGCGTTCGAATGGAAGGGACTTACAGATGATGCCTGGACTATGTCCTATGTCCAAGACAGACATTGCTAGTGGATCACCAATTCTTTCCCACCTCATAGTCCTTCCAAATATAGTGCTCCAGGCAGCTTCACTTGCCATCCTGCTTTTGTCCACATCCCTGACTTCATGAATGAGGACCAATGAGACAAAGTGGCTTTTTCAAATTCACACAGTTCCTCAGCACCAAAGATATGACTAGAACCTGATCCTCTGTTTCTTGACCAGTGTGTCCCCCAAGTCCCCCTTCTGCCTTAATAACAAAGCATATGTGAATTGCCTGCCCCATGTGCTGCCTTCTTTACCTCACCCCATACCTGTTCAGTTATTCTGTCTTGGGGTAGGAGGGAAAGAGGTCACTTCTGTGAAGGGGTGAGCAGCTCTTCCTGGAGTGGTGCCCTCACCATCATATTTTCTCTGCCAGCCCCTACTCATCTGACCAGATTTCCTCCCTAGACCCTTCATTCTTGGCACTTGCTATCTCTCCTCCTACAGGGTCAGGCTTGGGACCTGCAAGAGCCCTCAGGTCTCAAACAGAGAGGGAGGTGTGTGTATGTGGGGTGCTCCTTTCCCCATCCCAACCAAATCACTCAGGCCCTTCTCTGGCCGGATAAGGCTTTGTGGAGGTGGAAGGCAGGACTTGTGTTCAGAAGGAAGTGAAGAGAGAGAGTGGAGATGGGATATGCCACTCAGGATAGTTTCCTGGGGCAGGACCTGAGCGCTGGAAGAAAGGAAATCACCTGGGGAGAATTATGTGTAGGTGGATGTCACCCAGAGCCAATGCCTAGTGGCTAGAGTAAAAATACGGTCTGGCTATGGTGAGTTCCATCTTTAACAGCCCAGCCATCCTCAGATCACTCACCACCTTTTGCCCAGATATGTAGGTGCTTCTCACTTGTAAGAACAAGTGTGCTGTCACACTGGGCATGAGCAGATGTCCAGCTTCCTGGGTTCTGGCAGTCTGCTTCTGCATTCCTCTGGACTTCTCCGTGCACCTGTGTTCACCTTTCTTGGACAGTCAGTGGGTCAGGAAGTGGGTACAGGAGGAAGGGACGGAGAGAAAAGGCTTCAGTCAGATCACACTCACTGATGAAACTGGGGAGCCTTAGTTGAGGTTGGCACAGTGCTCTCTGCTGCCTCTTGGTGGCCAACAGGAACAGTGCCGCTTCACTAGGTTCCTGTTGAGACCTCTTCAGTGCCCTTCACAGACAGGAGGAAAGTGCCCTCACCCCTGTCCTCAGGATGAATGAACAAGGTGAGCAGCTCTCCTTCCCTGTCAGCTTTCATCATCTGGAACCCAAATACTTCCCTCACCCTTCTCCCCAAGACCCTGGTGGGGCTCTCCTAGAGAGACAGCTAGCTTTGGGGCAGCCAGCTCAGTGAGCGACAGCCAGCCAGGCTTCTCAGATACCTGCTGCCACCTACACTTCAGCTCTGTCAGCCTGGGGGACAGCATTTTCTGTTGTGGGCAGATCTGCACAGTGGTGGGGCACAAGCTCTTCCCAGCTCATGGGGCCATGAATTTGTCTCTCTGTCTCTGCAGACTGTTCACCATCATCCTCTCCCACCTTCCTCACCTCACATAAATTCACCAGACCCCCTGGCTAAACTCACAGACTGTCATAGGACGTCTCTGCTCTGGCTCTGGGACTGCTGGGAGTACTCAGTATAGAGCCCCCGTGGCCTGTGAGTCCAAAGGATGTGGAGGGGTGGCTTGGGGCTGGAGGAAACAGGGTGTGGGGAAAGGGACTTCCCACCACTTCATAGCTCATAGGAGCTCACTCACAACATGGACAAGGAGAGCAATGGGGCCTTTAACGTACCCAGAGCGCTGATACAGGTTGATGTGTGTGTGTGAATGTGTGTGTGTGTTTTTTGTGTGTGTGTGTTTGTGTGCATGCACATATGTGAACACAGAACAGCTATGGGGTTAGCTGGGCTTGTTTCCATCTCATCTAGCCTGGGTTTCATACTGGTGGCCAGAGGCCTAGTCTGGCAGCTATGATTTGTTTGGCCAGTATGATATTAAAACATTTTTAAGTGTATGCTTGTAGGTACTCTCCAATTTGCTGCAGGCTCCACCCCTCTAAATTAGCCAAACCCGAGTCTAAAGGCATTTGACTTCCTAACCTGTCCCAGAGGAAGGACTGAGACCTGTGGGCCAGGCAGAGAACCAGAACCTTTGCTTGAGCAGAGGCCAGCACTCTCAGGGTCCCAGCACCTCAGAAAGGGGAAGTCCTGGCTTGTTCATCTGTGGGTCTCCCACTTGGTAACCCATGAATTCTGACCAGTTCTCCCCCACCCACCAGGCTCTTCTCTCCCCCAAAGAAGGGTGGTGGCCAAGTTTACTTTCAAAGCTAGACCTGAAGTCTAGACCAGTGGCCCAGCCACAAAGACCTCTGTTGGGTTTTCTGATGTTTGGTATCACTTCTGCCTTCCAATCTCAGATGTACTTAGGACCCACCCCCAGCTCCTTCCCTTTATTTTAGGCAAAAACATCTAACCTGACTGTGGCACTCCTCCACCTGGAGGCTGAGACTGGCTTTTGTCCGTAACCGAGCTCCTCCTGGGAACCACTGCCTACCCGCACCCCCTGCCACTCCCAGGCTGGGCTCCCTGTGGAGCTGACTCACCAAGGCTGCTGGTCTTGGGGTTTGCAGCTCCCAACCACTCACCTTGGCTCTTCCCTATGTTCCCCTCGGTAAAGCTGAACCTGGGTTTGGAGTCTCCCCCTGTTGTCTCAACTGGGAGCCCCTTCTCCATCCAGCATGTGGGTTGCCTGTGTGGGAGCTGAGGAGAATGCTCTGTGCCCTCTCTCCTCCCTACCCCCAAGCTAGGAGAGCTCAGAGAGCTGAAGAGAGCCTTGAACTCCACTGAGATTGGAGCCCCAACCCCATGTGTGAGACCGTGGTCTGTGTGGATTAGGTTGGAAGGGCACCTGACCAGAAAGATTGTTCCCTGTCTGGCCTGGCATCCCCCTTTTACAGCTTCTCTCACCTGGTTCCATGCAGGGCCCCCACAAAAGAGGGCCTGGCTCTGGTTTGGGGTCTCCAGGTATTGCCGGGCTCCACCTCCCGCTGACCTCCCAAACCATCCTCCAGGTCCAGACCACCTTGTGGGTCTCCTTGTCTGCTGCTCCCATGGAAAGGGAGCACCCACTATTTCATCCTAGTGCTGTCTGGGGGTGCCAGCCTTGGTCCTCAGGTCAGAACTCCTCCCACCCCCATCAGAGAGAAAGAGAATGTAAGCCGGCTGGCCTGTCAGCCCTGTGAGCCCTTAGCCTCCGCGGTGAGTGGAAAGGTTACGGAATAAGATTTGGGGCAGGAGAAAGGGAGTCACAGGGACATAGATTAGGAGGCCAGGAGGAGAGAGGTGTGCATTTGGGAGGGAGGAGCCAGGCTGCTGTTTGTGGGGAAACATTATAACCAGAGGACTACGCCCAGCTCACTGGAGAGGCTGGCACCTCGCCCTGAAAGGAAGCTCCTGGGTGAACCTTTCAGCCCACCCTTCCTCCTTCTCTCCTGGAACCCCAGCTCTTCCCCTCCTGCTACTCATGCCCTGACCCACAGCACAGACGGAGGGCGAGTGAGGGACGTTTGCAGCTAGGTCATAGAAGGCACTAAGGCTTCCATGATCTCTTGGTCACTCCCTCTTGGGGAAGCTGATCGCCACTCAGGCAGCCCCACAGAGAGGCCCATGTGGAAGGAGCTGAGGCTTCCAGCCAAGAGCCATCACCAACAGGTCAGCCAGGAGAATGGCCACTGTGGACGTGGATCCCCCAGCCCCTGGCAAGCTTTTAGAAGCCTGGAAGCCTGGCTGACTGCAACCTTGTGAAGGGCCCTGAGCCAGAGAGCAGCCGCCAGGTGGGCCCTGAATTCCTGACCCACATGAAAGATAATCAATGTATATTGTGTAAGCCACGGAGTTCTGGGGTCATTTATTCAGCAGCAGTGGATACCTAATATGGGTCCTTGGCTTCCCTAAGTACAAGAATCACCCTTTTTGAGGGCGGGGTATGCCCCTCATCAGAGCACTGACCCTCAGCTCTGTAGGAAGGGAGACCTTGCTGGTGTTTATCCTCTCTGAGCCCTTTGCCTTTCTCCCAAGTTTTAAAATATATATTTTATTGATTTTTTTTTACAGAGAGGAAGGGAGAGAGATAGAGAGCCAGAAACATCAATCAATCGCCTCCTGCACACCCCCCACTGGGGATGTGCCCGCAACCAAGGTACATGCCCTTGACCGGAATTGAATTTGGGACCCTTCAGTCTGCAGGCCAGTGCTCTATCCACTGAGCCAAACCAGCCTCGGCTTCTCCCACGTCCTTACCACTCTGACCCTCCATAGCTCTCTGGCAGGTGAGGACTGCCAGCCTCTCTCCCTGCTGCCCTAGGCCTCATATGCCCGCTCCCTGGTGCCCAGAGCACTGGCTTCCCTGCGGGTTTAGCTGCTCAGGGAAGTAACATGAGCTGATTGGACTTGACAAGAGTGAAAGCTTGTTAACCACCCATCAGTACAGAATGTGGCGGGGAGGACAGCAGAGGACAGTGAGGGCCAAGCCTCTCAGGTCAAATGAGGCTGACGTGGGTTGGTGTCCTGGGTCCTGGCACCTTGCATGCCAGGCTGCTCTCCATCCAGTGTGATGACCAGCAGTCAGATGGCTGCTCCTGGGACCTGCATAGTTGATGGGCTGACAGGTTGGAGAGGCGGACACATCATTGCTAGGTGAAGCAACAGACAGAGAGAGAGGCTCTGATGGCTTGGGTTCCTCCACAAGGCCAGTGTCCAACCCCATGGCTGCAGCAAGAGTTGAGCTAATATTCCTGACACAGTTGCACTCCAGGGCTTTCTCTGCACACCATGTCACCGACCCCCGGAGGGCCACTGCAGTGTAGCCAGGGGCCTGAGGCTGCAACTGCCGAGTGTCACGTCAGTGGACCGTTGCTCCAGGCGCCACTCATTCCCTGTCTCCACTCCGCAGGGGTCTGGGAAGGGAACTGGCACCCTCCCTGGTCCAGTGGGTGCTTGGCAATTGCAGGTGGAATCGGGGTCTGTTGCTGAGAGGAGAGTCCCGGAGGAGGCAGGTACGAGGACAGAGAAGCCAGGAGGGCACATGGGGCAGAGGAACAGCTCCTAGCCAGTTGCAGGCTTCTCCTCTGCATTAATTCTAACACTTTTACCTCTTGAATCTTTAGAGCTTTTTACATAGATAATCAGACTGTTGGAAATAATGACAATTTAATTTCTCTGATCACCATTCCTTTCAGTTTTTTCTT